CTAGAGTGGGAGGGGTAGGAGGGTAGATTACTGGCTAGAGGGTAGACACATATTACTTGGGTGAAGGGGAAGGCAATGTATAATAAGAGGGAGGCATACAGGCAGGAGAAGGCACTGGGAAGAGTGCAAGAGTTAAAGAGAAATCAAGAGATCAATACATTTGTATACACAATCCTGCGATAACAGTGGTATCTCTGTGGGCGTATGGACAGATGTGCAGGTTCTAGGTGTGGGAGGGAGAGTGGGAGTATACAGAGAACAAATAGAGATGTACTATATTCATGGATTAGAAGATTCCGTGTTGTTCAATGTGAATTCTCCCCAAATTGATCTAGAAATTCAATGAAATCCTAATAAAACTCATAAATGGTTTTATAGAAGTTGGGAAACTGATTCTAAAATTTATATGGAAATGTAAATGACCTAGAATAGCCAAAGCAAATGAATAAGAACACAAAGGACTTAATCTGCTTGATTTCAAGATTAATAATAAAGCTATAGTAATCCAAAGTGGAGTCCTGGTGTGGTGCTGTGGGCTAATACTTTGGAATGCAAAGTCAGTTTGATCCGCAAAGTCGACGGTTCAAAATCAGTAGCCGCTCCTCGGAAACCCTATACAGGGTCTCTGTGGGTCAGAACAAACTCGACAGCACTCTGTAACAACCAAAAAAAAATCCAAAGAGTAATTTTTAAAAGATAGATATACAAGTCATTGAAACAGATTAGAGTCTAGAAATAGACCCACACTTAGTTGTCAGTTGGTTTTCAATAGAGATGCCAGTACGTGACATCTTCCATCTCGTACCTGGAACCCTGGCCGCATCCTAAACCCTCCTTTTATCAGAGTGTGCCATCGTAATGGCATAATATTGTATAATAAGTAGAAACAAAGAGAAGTGTCGCATAACAACCATTTGTGTTTGTATTATAAATGTATTTTACCTAACAGCATCCATATTGTGTTTTATTCTTTTTTTGGGGGAGACATCTAGTGCCATGTATCATTCTTCTGTTTAGAAATTAGCTTATTGTAATGTCATGTTTTAGGTGAGCAGCAAAATATTGTTGTTGTTGTTAGGTGCCAATGAGTCGGTATCGACTTATAGTGACCCTATGCACAACAGTACAAAACACTGCCCAATCCTAGGCCAACCTCACAGTTGTTGCTACGTTTGAGCCCATTGATGTTGCCATTATACCAATCCATCTTGTTGGGGGTCTTCCTCTTTTTCTCCAACCCTCCACTTTACCAAACATGATATCCTTCTCTAGTGATTGGTCCCTCCTGACAATATGTTTGAAGTATGAGAAATGAAGTTTGGCCATCCTGGCCTCCAAGGAGCACTCTGGCTGCACTTCTTCCAACACTGATCTGTTGGTTCTTTTGGCAGCCCATGGTACTTTGAATAATCTTCTCCAACACCACAACCCAAATGCATCCAAATTATATCTCCAGAAATCTAAAGTAAAACCTGGAACTTGTGCAAGGCAGAAACCTCTTAGATAAGGAAAACTCAAATCTTGTTCACTGCAACAACTTATGGAGAAGTGGGAAGACTGTACCCCACCTCAGGTGGAAAACTTGTGGGACCCAGAGCAACATCATGCTATGTGGCTAAATAGTGAATGCTTCCCCTAAGGTTGGAACTAAGCAGAGATGTCTGCTGTCATCACCTCCAGTCAACAAGCTCTCCCAGGTTTTACTGGAATACACTCTTGTTTCGCTTTATAGAATTACAGTGTTTTTCTGACTATTGCACATAGTTAATTAATAATGTACATACATATAACATGCATAGTACATATAGGAAACTAACACTCAATGGGATGTGCAGTATGGAAAACAACATAATGTGCATGTTATTTTTGTAAAAATATAGTGCTACTGATAAGTTTTTCCAGTCAATCTAGGTTATTTGCTGAAGTTGATTAAAGAAAGTAAAGTATAATTTGTAAGGTTTGATACAAACTCCTAATGAAGATCTCTGAAGGTAACAATATTATCTTTAGGAAAGTGGAATCAATTTAGGTAATTGAAAATTATGATGCATATTTCTTATACTTCATGTTTCCCCAGGCAAATTGCTAGCTTCCGGAAGGTAGGAGTGGTATCCTTGTGACGTTTAATATTTGTTATAATACCTAGTCCTGAGTCTGGGAGTGTGGTGGCTCCATAGGATAAGCACTGGATTGCAGACCACAGGGTCATCAGTTCAAGATCCTAGCTGCTCCACAGGACAAAGATGAGACTTTCTGCTTCCACTATGATTTTTTTTAAAAAAGACAACCTTGGGAACCCTATACAGGGTTATTTTGAGTTAGAACCAACTCAGTGGCGCTTAACAGTAACCACAGCAAAGCCCAGAATCTTGTTCATAATAGGGTCTTACTGCAAATGTATCAGTTTGATTAATTTTTTTTTTTTATTGTATTTGTGCAGGACAGAACTTACAAAAAGTGTGGTGCTCCCAGAATTAATTGAACTCTCTAGGGATGAAGGCAGCAGTGTGCGGCTTGCAGCGTTTGAAACTTTGGTTAATCTGCTTGACATGTTTGACACAGGTAAGCCTTCATGGGACACATCTTTGGTTCTGAAAGCAGTGCTTCCCAGTTTCTGTGTACCACAAATTGAAAGGGTTGCTGGTGGTAGTTGTATGCCGTGGAGTCAGTTCTGACGCTTAGCAACCCTGGATAGGGTTTCTGAGTTGGTAAATCATCACTGGAGCAGAAAGCCTCCTCTTTCTCCCATGGAGTTGTGGGGAGCGGTTGGCAGCACTGTGATTAGCAGCCCAGTACATAACCCACTGTGCTACCAGGTTCCTTACAAACTGAAAGTAGCATTTTTGAAGTTGCCTTTTATAAGAAATGTTAAGCTTCTTTCCTCTCTCTCTCTTCATGGGGTTTTTTTTTTCTTTTCTTTTCTGCTGCCACCTTTAACCCTCATGGTACCCGGCATTTGCTATATATTCCATACCTCTCTTATCACTCATAAAAATTAAACTCCCTTGTGGATAAGGCTAAGAATTTGGCTTGGTAATTAGCCTTTAATATGCTCACTGACAAACCATGACCCAAAATAATGTCCAAATGAGTTTCCTCTTTTTAATCATTATGTCAGTGCTAGAATTGTGGCCATTGGGGAAGAGCGTAGAAATTGGGGTAGTGTATCTGAGTGGGGATGGGTAAGGAAGTGTTTCTTAATGTACAAATCAGATTATAAGACAATTAGCTGTCCTCCCTAATGTGTGAGCAGACAGCTGACTAATGCTGGGCATTACTTTATCAGCGATCATTAGCCAATTCAATAAGTGAAATGTGATCAAGTGCTTAGGTACAAAACTCGTGTAATTCTCAGCTTATTTTTACTCAGATTATTAATATCTGTGCTGAACTAAGAGAGCCTCTTACAAAGGTAGCAATGTCAACAGTGATTCTGTATGGATGTTACAGAGTAGTTATTTAGGCGATATGATGAGACAGGAGCAAAACCCACAGGGCAGAAGTGTGTGAATGAAGGAATCTCCTTGTCCTTAATAAAGGGGTACCCCTAGACAATCAGAAGTAAGAAGAAACCTGATGTCATTTTAAATTTCTTTCCTGATGCTGCCCTACACTCTGTTTCCACAGATGCGGGCTGAACTGTGTTCTGGGCCTCATTTCCTGCCATTCCTTTCTACTCCCTTTGTATCTTATACCCCAGAGCACTAGCCATCGTCTCAGCATACCACTGTCTGTCATGCCTCTAGCCTTTCCTCAGGAGTCCTGGGGTGGCACTGAAGGATCAGCACTGGCCTGCTGACCACAAGGTTGGCGGTTCAAACCCACCAGCTGCTTCTTGGAAACCCTGTATGGGGTCGCTGTGCATCTTAACCCACCTGACAGCACTTAACAATAAGAACAGCCTTTTTGCATACTCCTTTTTCTCCCTGTTATTCCAGGTCCCTGCTTTTTTCCCTGGCCAACTCCTCCTCCTCCAGTGATCAATTTAAATTTTGTTTACTCTCGGACACATTCCCAAATCTGCCCGCCATGCTTTTTCTAAATGTGGTTTTATTGGACCTTTGTCATACCCATTTAATATTTTTTTAATTACATTATCTACCGACTCAACGGCACTTAACAACAACAACAACAAAAAATGGCTGCCTTTGGATTTTAGAAAGGCCTGGTGATCAGCTTCTGAAAATCAACCAATGAAAACTTTATCAATCACAATGTGTCTTATGCGTGTTGTTGTTGTTGTTGAGTGCCATTGAGTCAGTTCCAACCCATAGCGACCCTGTATAGGGTTTCGGAGACACAACTGGTGGGTTTGAACTACCGAACTTTGCAGTAAGCAGTCCAATGCTTATCCTACAGCACCACACCTCTACCTTATACATACAACTATTAAAACAGAGATCACATTATCTTTTTATATTTTTTTCTGTTTGACCTCCTTTTGGTCTTTGAGTTTCTCGAGCTCACAGGCATTCTTCATTCATCCTTCTACTTCCACTATTTAGTATAATACTTGCTCTATAAGTCAATTTTTTGAATAAATAAAAATATTTGTTAAATGAATGTAATTCTTTAGTAGACATGGTAATGCAATGTAGTGATACTGGTAATAACTAAATACTAATAAACCTTTTACAGCATTTTAATTTAAATTAAACTTAATAACGTAATTATTTCTGAAAGCTTTAGAGAAATATGTGTTATTTGGAGAGTATTTAGAATAGACCTAAACCATTAATATATCAGAAATGTATTACCTCAACAGACTCAAATAGTGACTAGCATTTTAAAGAAACATCTAAGAAATAAGAAGAAATTCAATATACAGAGCATACTATGTGTTCATTTAGTTCCAGCCCCAAATGAAGTCACACAGTGGGTTTACATTACCACCTGATCTGAGAAGCTTCCTGGACCTGCCACTCATCTCTCTGTACTAGTGTTGTCTCTGTACTAGTGTTGTCTCTGTACTAGTGTTGTTAGAATTCTTTCAGTCATTCAGACTGAACACCTCACTCATGTCAGCTTTGTAATTTGTAATTACACTTCACATTCTGTTTACTTTAATCCAGAGTGTAAAGTCCAGATGCCTCAGCCTGACATTCAAGTTCTTATAGTTTCAACCATCTTCTTCACCAGTCACGTTTGTCATTGTTTGCCAATGTATTTTAATATTATGAAGCTGACAATGATATCGTGTTCTTTTCCACATGTGCAATATGGGCAGCTGGGTCTAAAGTATGCTTTATTTTGTTTTCTTTTGCAGATGACAGAAGTCAGACTATACTGCCCTTAGTGAAATCATTTTGTGAAAAATCTTTCAAAGCAGACGAATCAATCCTTGTTTCCTTGTCCTTCCATCTAGGAAAGCTGTGTCATGGACTATATGGTATGCTAGAGCCTGAAAATCTCAGGATGACAAAGATAATGTTTCCCTTTGTGTTTTACATAAGCCACTGACCTTCAGTGCTTCAATCCTAAAACGTATCCCCATATGTAGAAAACTGTGTAAGGTCTTAGAGTTTTGACAACATAATTTAGAGCATGTTTGGAATAACATTTTTTGTTAGTAAAGAAAGGAAAAAAAAACTCAGAAAAGTTATTGCTGACAAGTTGAGTCTAAGTAGAATCACCGTGTAGGGTTTCCAAGGCTGTAACCTTTATGAGAGCAGGCTGCTGGGTTCAAACCGCTGACCTTTTGCTTAGTAGCTGAGTACACATCCTACATTTACGAATATTTCATCTTTTTGTATTACTTAGTATACGGGAATAGAAGGTTAGGCATAAGAACTGCCCTTGCAGAGTGAGTATACCTTTATTAACTATTTGTTCATGTATCATGTGAGACGTTCACCTTACAATCTAGGGTAATGCACGTAAGTCTTGTCACTTTAAATATTTTATTTTGTTATTTTTTAATATGATGTGTGAGAATTAAGTTATAGCCTTCTAGTGTAGTAAAACACTTTGTTTATGTGGATTATAGACATTTAGTGGACTCTTAAAGATCTTATTTTAGTCGGGTTAGCCAAAAATTATCCACATTCTGGTTATATTAAAACACCCATCCACATCCACAGCTGATGACGACGTTGAGCATGCATATGAAATGATTCTTTTGAATAGACAAGAGACAGTGTATTATGTGGCAGATCATTTACAAATCAGCCATGGCTCTGCCTATGGAATAATTCATTACAGACTTGGGTTTCAAAAAGTTTGTGTGAAATGGGTACTGAAACAACTCATGAAAGAGCACAAACAGAAGCATTTGGACATCCGCAAACAAAGTTTGGACTGATTCCTCAAGGAAGGTAAGTGTCTTTAAAAAAAAATTGTTACTGGTGATAAGACCTGGGTTCATCACTATGAACCTGAGAGTAAATGGCAGAATATGGAGTGGAAACATCCTCAATCACTGACCAAGAAAAAGTTCAAAAGTCAACCACAGGCTGTAAAATTGATGCTACAGTTTTCTGGGATTCTCAAGGGCCAGAATTGGAGCACTATCAGGAAAAAGTTTCAACTATAAACAAGTGCTTGTAACTGTGAGGTGCACAATGAAGAGCTGAAACCTAAACTTCAGACTAATTGCAGAGGACTGCTATCCAAGGACATTGTGATCTTGCATGACAATGCACGTCTGCACACCTCTGCCCACACTGTTGACACTCTGCAAAAACTTCACTTTCAGGTGTTAAAGCATCCTCCCTATAGTCCTGATCTTGCTTCATTGGACTTTCACCTGAAAACAACACTTCGATGCAGAAGATTCCCTTTAATGAAGTAAAGACAGCAGTGCATTCGTGGCTCACAGCTCAGCCTAAAACATTTTAAAATAAGGGAATATGAAAGCTTGTTGATAGATGGAAAAAGTGTATTGAAAAACAAGGAGATTATGTCAAAAAATCATATATTTGTCTTTTCTAAAAGTTGATTAAAATAAATTCTACAGCCAGAGTGTGGATAATTTTGGAATTACCCTCATATGTTAAGAGAATGAAAAGACAAGCCACAAACTGGAAGAATATATTTGCAAAATATGTATCTATAGACTTGTATGCCAGACATACTAAGAATTGTTCCTTGTTACCTAGAGCTGCTATAACCGAAATACCCCCAAGCGGGTGTCTTTATCTAACAGAAGTTTCTTTCCTCAGAGAGTAGGAGGTTAGAAGTCTGAATTCAGGGTGCTGGCTGTAGGGGAAGGTTTCCTGTGTGTGGGCTCTGGAGGAAGGGCCTCATCTCCTGATGAGCTTCTGCTCCAAGAGGATCTTCATGTGTCTTGGCATCTCCCTTCCCCCATCTCTGCTCTGCTCACTTGTTTAATCTGTTGTATCTCAAAAGATACTGTCTCAAAATGTGGCCTGCACTAAACCTGCCTCATTGACACATCAGAAGACTCATTCCTTACTGGAATTAGGACCACAGGCATATAGGCTAGGATTTATTACATATAATTTTTAAGGGTGTGAGACACCATTCAGTACATAACAATTCTTAAAATTCCACAATATTTAAATAAGCAACCTAATTTAGAAATAGGCAAATCTGAAGAGACACTTAAGACACGCTCACCAAAAAAGATGCAGAGATGGCTGCTAAGCATTTGAAAAGGTTCAACAACATCATATATTATTAGGAAATTTCTAATTAAAACCACAATGAGATACCGCTACACCTTTCATGAAAATGGCTAATATCCAAAACACTAACACCACCAAATGTTGGCAAGGATGTGGAGCAGCCGGAACTCACATTCACTGTGTGCAGGTCCTTACAACCTGAAGCAGAGTTTTAAGATCCAGCATTTGTGCTTTTAGGTATTTACCCAGGTGAACTGATAATTTATGTCTATACAAACAACTGCACTCACATGTTTATAGACTTTTATTCATCATGGCCAAATCTTGGAAGCAACCAGGATATCCTTGAATCAGTGAATGGATAACCAAATTGGTACATCTGTGTAATGGAATATCATTCGAGAATCAAAAGAAATGAAATCTCAAGCTACAAAAGACACGGAGGAACTTCACATCTAAAAGCAGCCAGTCAGAAACAGCTATCTACTGTATGACCCTAACTCTATGACATTCTGGAACAGGCAAAATTAAAGATAGAAAAAAAAATAATAAAAATGAGTAGTTTGCAGGGCTTCAGGGGACGAGTGGAGGAATGAAAAAGTGGAGCGCTAGTCATTTGTGGGTGGTGAAACCATACTGTATGATACTCTAGTGGTGAGCACATAATTGTGCATTTGCCAGAACCCGAAGAACTATACAACATAACAAGGTAACCCTCATGTATATTGTTGATGTTGTTTGTCGTGGACCAGCCTCGGCACACTTATTGGGGGGTCCTTAGAGAGAGATGTGGCGTTGGCAAAGAAATGAAGCACAGAATCAATGGGTCTCTATGAATGGTGAATCTTATCCTTCGGTTATTTCAGATTCTCAAACAGCTTTTATACTACTCTATACCATTAATCTATTAATCATTCTTTTCAAAGTAGTGGTTTAAATCATACATTTTAATCATTACAATAAAGAACATTAAGAACATCAAAATCTTCCTTGTTCCCCTTTACGTAGTTAGACAATATCTGATTTCTGTAAGCAAACCTCATTGTTCTAAAAATGTCACGTTATCTTTTACAAGGACTTTGTTACCCTTAACCTCCTATTCATTATTCTTTGAAACTTAACAACTATAACTAGGTCCAGGTGTTTCTAAGTCTCTTTAGATTTGTTTAAACATTCTATATCTTGCTACTCCCCAGGGATCTAAATTCCTAATTGTGATCTCAAATACAAATTATGTTTTCAGTTAACTTCATACATCACTAACGTCTAAAAATTAAAATTTCTCAAGCTCTTACAAAGCTTTTAACTATAACCCTAGCCGTCTCCATGGCTCCTACATCATGTTCAGTTATTTCACAGGCTATTATTGGTGATTAAAGTAAAACAGGTGCTAGATTATGATCTCAACTTTATACTGGCAGTGTTTCAACTGCTTTAAAATATCTGACTATAAAAATAAAAAATACGTATATTTCTTAAATCAGAATAACAGGTATAATACTGATTACTTATAACATTGATTCTTATTAAAATGAAAGAATAAGAAAAGAAAAACTACAAAGCCAGCAAGGTCCCCCGCATGAAATTTCCTCTTGAGGCTCTGCCAAATCAATGAGGCACCCATCGCTGCTCTGCAGTACAATGGACTTTCTTCATGCATAGGGTCTCCCGCTGCTCTGTGTTGTTGCAATGTATTTATTATCAGAGCCATCATGGCCCCTGCCAGTTGTGAAGTGCAGTTCAGTCGGTTCTGACCCATAGCAACCCTGTATAAGGTTTCTGAGGAGCACCTGGTAAGCTTGAAACACTGACCTTGCAGTTCAAACGTCTTTGCAGTCTGGCACATTAACCCACAGCGCCACACCAGGACTCCATATATATTGTAGACTGTGGTTAATGTTTCAGTACTGGGTCATCCTTTGTAACAACTATACCACACCAGTGTAAGATGTTCATGGGAGGATGCAGGGCTAGGATGTTTGGTGTCATTTTTCTATAAACCTAAAACTGCTCTAAAAGAGTAAAGTATATTATATAAAACTGTTTTGTAGCATAGAATGAGTTTCCAGCTACCTGGAATAGTTAATGAATATGGAACCAGTCTATTTATCTAAAATATTTTGGGTTTATTTTGCTACCTTTCAAACTTAGTTTTAGGATCTTTCTCTGCAGACACAGAAACTGTCTTCTCTGCAGGCAAACCGAAGCTGCTTGCCAGAAGGACATGGGATCTGCATGACAGCCACAGTGTTGCTATCATTGAACCGACATGGTAGTTGTCTGTATTTGATATGTGTGACAGAAATTAGTGCAGATATAATTCCCTGACAGTTTATACTATTGAAATTAAAGGGCTACTGAAATGAGCATAAGAGTGGAAGAGTGGAAATGTGGATCACAGGACGATGTCAGGGTAGCGACCTAGTAATTTTTTCATAACAGTTACTCTTCCCTCCGTGATGCGTTTGTTTATGATCAGTGGTCCACAGACATTCATTTAACTATTTGACTTAAATCAGTTTAGACCCTTATTAAATACTTGATTCCAAATTTGTTTTTATTGTACTTTGATTTTTCTCGTTTTCATTTTCTATCAAAATGTTGAGCATCCTTTTTACATTTGCTTTAGGGATTTTTACTCCAGATCAACACTTGAGATTTTTGGAGTTTTATAAGAAACTTTGTACATTGGGTCTGCAACAAGAAAATGGACACAATGAAAACCAGATCCCCCCGCAAATCCTAGAGCAGGAGAAGAAATACATGTCAGTACGGAAGAACTGTGCTTATAACTTTCCGGTAATAAAGAATAGATTTTTGTTGATTAAACATTTTGATTATAACTTTAAAACATGTGAGTAGATAGAATTACAATAGTTTCTTATTTGGCACTTGCTGCTTAGTTCTATGTATGTTATACAATAGGTACTTAGTAAATATATGTGAAATTTGTAATTTTCTCCATGTATAAATCAGAATGATATGAATACATTTGGACCTTCCAAATGTGATTTATAATTACATTATGATTCTGAGGACATGATTTCAGGTTAAATGAAGTGATTCTAATGTTAGGTTATTGATGCATGTTTTTCTCTCCTTCCCACTTGTGTCCTCCCTCCCACCTCCACCAGGGCATGATTGTTTTTGTTGATCCCAAAAACTTCCACATGGAACTCTATTCTACGTTCTTCTGCCTTTGTCATGACCCTGAAGTGCCAGTCAGATACACTATTGCTATTTGCTTTTATGAAGTAAGTCTGAAGAATTGATACCACTTTTCATTTGTTGTGAAGTCTACCCATGTATACTAGAGAATTTGCTGCTATTTTCTGCACTTCTGTTTCTAAGCCTATTATAGCATACAGGATTCTCATTTCTGTCACATCTTATTCCTGAATTTCACTTAAAACGTCCCATAATCCACTTCTTTTTTTTAGTATGTTTACAGAATTCGTTTATATGAACACATAATGTTCATTTAAAAATCCATTACTTCAATGTATCTTTTACTGAATGCTTACCTTAAGCCAAGCATTGTGGTAAAAGGGGGTGTTCCAGATTCCAAAATTAAATCAGTGTCCATGTGCTTCTTGATATGTATGCTTTATTTTGCACTACATTTGGAGACTCAAGAGACACATTATTCACATTTATTATTTTTACTGCAAATGGATTGTTTCATGAGCAAAATCTTAGATTCAACTCTTAGATTCAAAGTGATTTTAGATTTTTATCATGACTGTAACTATCTTTTTAACCCTTTGAAGTTAAAATTTGAGACATATTTCTTGGGTAATTGCAATAAACAGGGATATGCTGTACTTACAGTTGTTGTTTAGTGCCGTTGAGTTGGTTTCAACTATAGAGACCCTTTGTAGAGTTTACGAGAAGTGGTGTGTAGGTTTGAACCACTGATCCTGTGGTTCAAACTGACCTTTTGGTCCAATTCTTATCCTACAGTGCCACACCAGGGCTCCTTACTTACAGTAAACACCTGTAAGATATGACTTGGCAGCTTCAAAAATATCTTATAGTCATTTATATGTGACATAATAAAATTTTCCCTTTTTAATTTGTACAGTGGATATTTCTTTATTACAAATGAAACTATTTCATCTGCTTTGCACTGTGTTCCTACATCAAAGCAAGGAGAAGATATTCACAGCATTGTTACGCTTGTTACTTGGGATTCTTTTGGCTGTTGAGAAGTAGTCTTTGCTTCTTAAAAATAACTTAATTTTTCTAGTTCTGAATGAAAATAAATGTTCATTGTATAGCATCTAGGAAAGAGCTCCTTTAAATGGGGCAGTGGGTTAAAACCAATGACTAAGTTATACAATTTAGTTCTAAACACACTTGCAGAACTCTTGCTTTGCGGGGAAGGTGAGGGAAGAGGACCATGTGCAATGTGCTCTTCCAAGAAGTACTAAGTGGGCATTTAGGCCAGGCTCCTGTGTAGGAGTGCTGCTGGTACAAATGGTTAAGTACTGGACTGCTGACTGAAAAGCTGGCTGTTGGAACCCACTCAGCCACTTTGTAGGAGGAAGACTTGGCAATCTGCTTTCATAAAGATTACAGCCCAGAAAACCCTGTGGGGGCCGATTGACTCTGTCACATGGGGTCACTACGAATGAGGAATCACTTGATGGCAGACAGACACTACAACAGTGTACACGTGCATCTGTGTAGGACAGCCGTCTTCAGGAAAGATTTCACGAGCCTGCAGTCTGGGAATGCGTTAGTCGAGTTTCTATTTCTGTTTCTCTTTTATCTCCTTCTTTTCATATTTCATTTCTGTTTGTTGGCACCATATATTGGAATGTGTATTCAAAAGTATTCGTGGTGGGAGTGAATTTGGACACATTTTAGGTGTCATTATTTTCTAGGTAACTGGTTTTCATAGTCTCACCTTCATGCCATGTTGTTGCTGTGAAGTGCCATCGAGTCAGTTCCGACCTATAGTGACCCAGTATAAGGTTTGCGAGGAGCAGCTGGTGAGCTTGAACCGCTGACCTTGCAGTTCAAACAGCTTTGCAGTCTGGTGCATTAACCCACAGCGCCAGACCAGGACTCCTCATTCCATGTAGGTAGGCTAAAATGGCACTTCACTTCATAAAATGAAGACCTAGTCTATATCTGCCTGTTGAATGAACAAAATTCACAGGTGGATTTACATATTCCTAATAAAGTTATTGGTGTGGCACTCTGGGTTAATGAGCCAGACTGCAAAGCCATTTGAGCTACAAGGTCAGCAATTCAAGCTCACCAGCTGCTCCTTGGAAACCCTATACAGGGTCGCTATGGGTCAGAACCGACTCGACAGCACTTAATGATAACAACAATAAAGTTATAGGAGTTCTGGTGTTGTGCTGTGCATTAATGCACTGGACCGCAAGATCGCTTTGAACCACAAGGTAAGTGGTTCAAACTCACCAGTCGCTCCTTGGAAACCCTATACAGGGTTGCTATGGGTCAGAACTGACTCGACTGCACTTCACAACAAAAACAACAATGAAGTTATAGCTAGATTCTGATGGTTTTACTGTGTTCGAACTTTTTTCTTGTTTTTCAGAAAAAAATAGTATTCTGAAAATATTTTTAACAGTTAAAACAAAACAAAACAACCCCGTAGAGTATAGGTTTTAGCAAATGCTTTTCTTTATACAGGAAACATTTTCCCCCCAAATAAAATCGTACTCAGAAGCCCAATGTGTAAAATAAATCAAGATGATTTAGGAACGGTTGGATCCTCCATTGTGGCTCTGTGTATGTTCAGCAGAAAGAAGATTAGTTCACAGAGCAGCTGATTCCGTCTACACTGTCCCATCTCCTCTCCTGCTCCTCAGTCTTTGCTGGGTGGGGAAAAAGAAAATAGTTTTGCTCTCATAGGAGTTAGCCTGATCTCGAGATTCCTGTGGGCCTGTAGTAGACCTTGCTCTCTTTGGGAAGCTCTAAACTAGGTACTAGCTGCTCTGAGACTTTCAAATGTGAGCTAAAGGCAGGCATGGCTTCTTACTGCTCATGAAGTGAAGGCTGTGACCCTGATGAACCCACCCTTCTGTTTCCACACACACTAGTGTCTTGTGGGGTGGATGACATAGGCAACTTATGTTTCTAGAGGATCATTTTATATTATTTTGTAGCCCAATTTTCTTTCATAGGATGTATTTTTTAAATGATTACTGTAAACCTTATATATCTAATAGTCTCAAATCTTACATTTTAGGTGTCTAAACTTTTGAATTCTGGAGTGTATCTTATACATAAAGAACTAATAACGCTATTACAAGACGAATCACTAGAGGTAATCCTTTATGGGTTTTTTTCCCTCCACTCTTTGGTTCTTCTTTTATGTTAAGTCTGAATGAATTTATGTCTTTATTTTTTTAAACTTCTTATGAATTGCACAAACTCTTTCAGCTGACTAGCCCCAGAAACTTCAAATCAGCGTACCATTATATTTTAGACTAGACATTGGGAAATCTTAAAATTATATTAGATTTTAACATATCTGTGTATATTTGTTTATTAAGGAATATTTGAGAAATGCAGAAAAGTAGACAAAAGAGCACTCTCGATTCCAGTCTTTATTCCTACTTTGGTATATATTTTCCATTCAATTTCTTTCTATGTATAACTGTATTTTTTATTTGAACATGTGTAATCATATGTGATATCACATTACATATATAGTTTTTCTGTTAGTATTCCTTGGAGAGCATTTTATACTTGTGAAGACCCTTTAAATGCTTCATTTGGATGCTGTCTTTAGTGTAGCTCACTCCCTAAATAAGTACTTGGAGTCCTGCTGTGGCGCTGTATGTTAATGCGCTGGACCTCAAGGTCGGTTTGAACCACAAGGTCAGCAGTTCAGATTCACCAGCTGTGCCTGGGAAACCCTATACTGGGTCGCTATGAGTCAGAATCGACGACTCTTAACAACAACAAATGAGTACTGGCTTACTGCCACTCATCTCATCACTTTTTAGACATAGCAGAGGGTATTGTCTAATTTAAACAGCCTTTCAAAAGTTGGGAGGTTGGTTTTGAGGAAGTTGGTGGTAATAGCAGTAACTGTCTCAGATTTATACTATTTGAGCACCATCAAAGGCAGAGTGTGAATCCATTTACAACAATTGATTAATCAAGAGTAATCATTAATCTTGTTTCTAAGACTGTTCAGCAAGATGGCAGAATTAGTTAATAGAATCTCTCAAAATGGTATTTGGTTAATGATACTATTTCTGTGTCCAGACATAGATGGATTAGCTAATCTTAATTAGAACAATCCAGTGATCACTTCAATAACTCTATTAAAAGGTACTAGATGCCCTTATAGATCATCTTCCGGAAATCCTGGAACTTATGTCTGCTGGTGGAGAAAGCAGTACGCAAGAAAATAAGGTACATATCATCTATCAACAGTTTTATGACCTGATTAATATCTTAGTCTATAGGTTGTTGTGAGGACTTGATGAAAGAATGTATGGGAAACATTTAACATCTAACTTGTCTCATAGGTATTCAGTAAATATCTATTAGAGATTGAACAGCTCGAATTTTTTTTTTACAATTCTCATATAATAATTCTTATATTTTTTCCTTGGAGTTTATCTTCATAATTTTAGTTTCCTTTAGCATTAACGATTATTCCAGGAATATCAATAGTGAGGACAAAGAGGTAGAAATTCAGAAGGTCAAAGTTGGCTGACAATAATATATAATAATTTAGACTTTAGCTTGAAAGGATGCTTTTATAATCGATCTGACAGGAAGAATAATGCCCAGTCTCTTTTTAAAAATTTATTTCCAGTAACTTCAGATTTTACTTGTGGATTTCTCAAAAAGTATGTCATTTTACCAGATAATTATCTCCCTGTGACAACTGAAATGCTCCCTAAATTCTGAAATGAGCACTAGTATCCCCCAATGTCAATTTACATAAGCCTATTTTGATGAATTTTAATTGCAGTACTTAATTATTATCAATTCTTTTGAAACGTGTTCTGTAGTTGTCAGCTCTGCCTGAATTGATTCCTGCACTCTCCGCTGCTGAGCAGCGAGCCGCAACCTCTTTAAAGTGGAGAACTCACGAGAAGTTACTACACAAATATGCCTGTCTTCCACACCTCCTATCAAGTGATCAGATTTACTATCGCTTCTTACAAAGAATGCTTACAATCATGATGACAAATGTGAGTCTACATCTGTTTTCTTATTCTTTTGAACTCATAGTTGACATGAAACTACCAATTTCTCAACTTAGCAACTCATTACTTTCTACTTTGTTGTTGTTGTTTAGTGCCGTCGAGTCAGTTCTGACCCATAGCGACCCTGTACAGGGTTTCCGAGGGTGTAAATCCTTACGGGAGTAGAAAGCCTCATCTTTCTCCCACAGAGTGGCTGGTAGTTTCGAACCGCTGACCTTAAGGTTCGCAGCCCGATTCGTAACCACTACGTTACCAGAACTTTCTACTTAGGAGGGTGTTATCTTCCCAGAAACTCGGGTTTCCCTTTGCTTTTCCACTTGTTTTCCCTTTGATCATCTTCCTATCTGGAGAAAGAACTGACCAGGTGGTCCCTCCACCTTACCTTACATTTATATCTCTCCATATACCTGCTCTTTACTTCTCAGTATGGTTGGCTTCCAAGACCAGGTTGTTACATGAAAATTGGCATTATATAAAAATGGCGGATCATTCCACAGCCGCCACACCACTGAGATTCATGGTCCACCCAGTTCACAGAACCTTGGCCATCGCCACCCACTTTGTAATTCCTTTGAGGTCCTTTCGCCTCACACCTCAGCATTCATGATTGCCAGACAGATGTCATCAATGCAGCATGTTGAATAACGAGAGTCGCTAAGTGAGGAGCGGGTGCAGTTCTTCTCTAGAGGGAGGTGAAGAGAACTTAGTCATCCAACAGCAAATTGCCTTGTGCTTCCACATACCCCTTTTATATATCTGTGCCGTACTTCAACGATGTTGTCTGATCAGTCGTCCTAGGGCATCTTGATAATAGCTTGGGTACTTTTCTTTTAAAGTACCTAAAGGGTCCTGGTGCGGTGCTGTGGGGTAATGCGCCAGACTGCAAAGCCGTTTGAACTGCAAGGTTGGCGGTTCAAGTTCACCAACTGCTCCTGGGAAACCCTATACAGGGTTGTTATGGGTTGGAATCAACTCGACAGCACTTAACAACAACCAAGGGTGATTAGGGAACGCAGGGGCTCTGTAGGATAAGCACTGGACTGTGAACCACAGGGACAGCTTTTCAAGTCTGCCAGCTGCTCTGTGAGAGAAAGATGAGACTTCCTGCTCCTGCAAAGATTTCCAGCCTTGTAAACTCTACACTGTGAGTTAGAACCAGCCAGGGTGATTAGAGGATCCCTGGTGGTATATTGGATAAGCAAGCACTTAGCTGCTAACCAGAAGGTTCATAGCTCAAACTCACCAACCATTCTGTGGGAGAAAGATATGGCAGTCTGCTTCCTAGAGGTGACAGCTTGGAAACCACAGGGGGCCTCTGTACTTGGTCCTGTAGGGTTGCTATGAGTTGTAATCGATTCGGCGGCTTTGGGTGTTGGGTTAAAGGGTGTGGTGCTGTGGGATCAAGACTACAAACCTACCAGCTGCTTTACAGAAACCCTATACAGGGACCCAATGAGTCAGAACTGACTTGATGGCACATAACAACAACTGCAAATGTCACATAAGATCCCTGGTACTGTGCAGAAGGATAAGCACTGGACTGCTGTCCATGCTAACTTCAAGATCAGCAGTTCAAACCCAGCAGCTGCTCTCGGAAACCCTGTCAGGGTGGCTGTGAGTCAGAACTGACTTGACAGGACAAGAATGACAACATGTAACAAAAATTATTTATAAACATGGATGCCCCACTGTGAATAGCCTTATAATTACAGCCCAAAGCCCAAACCCAAATCCTTCCAAGCTGGCTTTGTCGTTCCTCAAAGCAAGGTTATCCTCATAGCCCTCTCCCCATAGAATGAGGAGTCTACTTTTTTCTCCAAGATGTCTCAAGGTGGGATTATTTAACCTGGAGTTCATTGTCCTTTTATGTGGCATTCTTCTACCACCTGTTGGATTATAAAAGTGCCTCACAATGCTTGTGTTACAAACAGTTAAAACATACTTGGATTTCTCATTATTTGTTCTCGGCAAACAATGAGAACGTAACAAATTTTAACAGCCATCTCAAAAACCCAAAAGTTCTTGCATATTTAAAGGTTTGAAAAAGAGAAAAATGACGTTATTGGTGTTACTTACAATTTAAGTACATAATTCATAAAAGAATACCTCTCCACAAGACTATTCCATGTATCAAGGCAAAGGTTGAAGGTTATATTGTGCACTGAATAATTTTCACAAGTGATTTTAACGACAATAACACCCTCATCAGTTTTAGATTCAATAGCATGCGTGTACCACGTAGGAAATGTCACATCAAACTGAGAAGACTTTCTTGATTAAGTTTATTGAACAATGAATTATTTGCATGCTTGCTAGGTGTCAGGCCCTGTTCTAAGAGCTGGGCATATAGAAATGAACCACGCAGACAGAATCCTGCTCTGAGGAGCCTGCATTCTGAAAGTGGTGATGGTGGGAATGAAAGCTTGTGATTGTTGTTAAGTGCCGTTGAGTTGACTCCAACTCATATCGACCCTGTATAGGGTTTCCAAGGAGTGGCTGGTGGATTTGAACCGCTGACCTTGTGGTTTACAGTCCAGTGCTGGTCCTACAGTGCCACATCAGAACTCCAGTAGTGATAGGTTGTTGTTGTTGTTAGCCTCTTCCAATGGGGACATATGAATTTTAGTTTTCTCTGTTAGAATTATTAGGGGCTCATTTTGATGTCAGTTGTTTTAATAAACTGTAGTTTGTTTTTTCCTGGTGCAGCTTCTTCAAGTCAGTGTTGATGGTGGTGGTGATGGTGGTGGTTGTGTGCCATGGAGTCGGTTCCAACTCATAGTGACTCTGCATCAGGTTTCCGAGGCTGTAAATCATTACGGGAACAGAAAGTCTCATCTCTTTCCCGCAGAACAGCTGGTAATTTCAAACTGCTGACCTTGAGGTTAGCAGCCTGAGTCAACCACTATGCTATCAGAGCTCCTTTTTGTATCCCGTTGAAAGGATTCCATTGTTGTTGTGGTTGTTAGGTACCACTGAGTCAGTCGGACTTCTACTGACCTTATGCACAGTAGAATGAAACACTGCCTGGCCCTGGGCCATCCACACAGTTGTTCCTACGCTTAGCCCATTGCTCTTGCCACTGTGCTAGTCCATCTCATTGGGGTCCTCCCCCTTTTCACTGACCCTCCATTTTACCTAGCATGATGTTTATCTCCAGGGACTGGTCCCTCCTGATAACATGTCCAAAGTATGAGACACTGTCTCACCACCCTGACTTCTAAGGAGAACTGTGGCTATATGGACTTCTTCCCACACAGATTTGTTTGTTCTTCTGATAGTGTCTTTGAGAAAGGTGAGGCTGGCAGTGTGCTTTTTGGAGTCCTGTTGTGGCGCTGTGGGATGAAGCATTGGACCGAAAGGTCAGTTTGAACCACAAGGTTGACTGGTTCAAACTCACCAGTTGCTTCTTGGAATCCCTGTACAGGGTCACTTTGAGTTGGAACCGACTCAACAGCATGTAACAACAACAACAACAACAACAGGTGTAGCACTGTAGAAGCACTGGACTGCTAACTACCAGGTTGGTGGTGCAAACCCACCAGCGGCTCCTCAGAAACCCTATACAGGTGCTGTGTATCGGAAGGACTCTCAGTGTGGTGCTGTAGGCTCAGTGCTGGCCTGGGAACCACCTGGTCGGCAGTTTAAACCCATCAGCTGTTCCTCAGAAACACTACACAGGGTTGCTGTGAGTTGAAACCAACTTAACAACAATAGCATTGAGTTGGAACCGACTCAGTGGCACTTAACAACATTATAAGGTACAAAATATGCATGCTTTTGTATGAGTCATATATGTGCATTTGAAATTTCTATTAGTGAACACTAGATGAAGGAAAAGAATAACATGTTTTTTAATTTAGTTCATTTATCTAAAGTTCATTTTTTTTAAACCCAGTGATATTTCTACTTATGTAACTTTTCCCTAAATTTGGGTTTTAAATCATAGTGAATATCCTGTATTTTTAATGAAAGCATCACATGAAATAGTACCCAACGGACTGAAAATAATATGAATGTTGTTGTTGTCAGAGCTGTGGGGTCAGTTCCAACTCATAGTGACCCTGCGTAGAGTTTCCAAGACTTTTAAAGAAAATCTTTGCAGAAGCAAAAAGTCTCATCTTTTTCCTGCATAGGGACTAGCAGGCTCAAACTGTGACTGTGTGATTTGAAGCCCAGTATGTATGTTGTAAGTGCCTTTGAGTCAGTTTGGATTCATAGTGACCCTGTATAGGGTTTCCAAGAAGCAGCTGGTGAATTGAACCTCCAATCTTGTGATTCAAACTGACTGTGGTCCAGTTTCTGAAGGGTCTTTACAAATTTGTGGAAAATGGAATTAAAGGTATTGGAATTTGTTTATGAACTTTTTGAAACCTCTCCTGTAAAATCTGAGGTGCCTGAAGTAAGCAGTTCAATCTCAGCATGTAATGTCTCATTCATTTGACTTTCCAGGATCCCCACTACAGTAGTGTGAGTCTTTAGTAATTGAATATTGCAGTATTTATGTGTGAGTCACAAAAGATGGTGAATTGAATTCCTACTTGGACCCAGTGTACCTTATTGAGAATTTTTTTTTCTACTACATGGTTTGACCTCAACCCCAGTGGAAATAAATGGGTTGAATTTATCTGGAATTGTTGTTCAGCCCAGTGTTATGACAGAAGTTCAGAGAACACAGGGTTTAGAAGACTAGCAGGAGTGACTGCCATGGGCCCCCATGGATTCTAAACTTGATCTGTTTTATGAGCCACGGGTTTCAGTGGATGACATTTAGGTTAAAGAGTGACTAATTAAACCAGAAGAATATAACTGATCATAGGGTCTCTGAGTTTACGTTCTAGAAGTGACACAAATATTTGTTGACTGAGTGGATGGTAGGGTCCAGGGGTGATTCAGAGGAAAGGTGGCCGAGGATGAGGTGACCCGGAAGTGAGAGGCAAAGGTAAATCAAATCTGCATGATTTGGAAATGACTGTGTCAAATCAAGTGCGCTTTGTAATGTGAGATATTATTAGTTGATTTGCCTGTGGGATGTGAATAGTCAAGATTGAGAATGCAGCGCCATGATTGGGACACTGCTCTTAATGTTAGCCGATAGCTTACACTTGATATACGGGGCCAAATTATACAGAATGCATACTAGACTAGTCTAATTATTGTCTTTCTTATTTCTTTAAGAATGTTTTGCCTGTCCAAAAGGCAGCATCACGAACCCTGTGCATTTTTCTACGCTACAATCGTAAACAAGAGCAGAGACACGAGGTCATTCAAAAATTAATTGAACGTAAGTGATTATTGTCTTTCTTGGTGTGTGTGTGGGGAGGGGAAGAAAATAAGCTAAGCTTAATAGTTGGTCTTAGTTAGATGTGACATACATCGTGCATTGTTTTTCCATGAGTGATTTGTTTAATATTGGTAAATAGCAGGTGTGTATTTTTATTTGAGCTTTATGGCTAATTTTGTTTGCATATTTTAGATATCTCCCAGGATCAGATCTGTGATGAATGAAAATGGTGATAGTGACTCTGGGTCTTCTGTTGTACATTTTGACACTGGAGACATTTACATACCTGTAGACTTTGGTTGAAAGTCCCGCTTCTACCTTGATTTGGAGCTAAACTATAATAGAATATCAGTGAATCGGTTGTGGCCCTGTATGATCAGTACTGGACTGGGAACCACAAGGTCAGCAGTTCAAAACCCACCAGTTGCTCCTTGGAAGCCCTCTATGAGGTCCCTATGAGTTAGAACCAACTTGAAGGCATTTAACAGCAACAACAGTAATAGCTGATATTATATTTCTGTTGTAAATACTAGCAAAGTGAACAGAATACAGTTTAGTTGTTGTTGTTGTGCTGAATACACATATCAATAACAAGATTGTGGATCTGGTGAGCTGGGTGGTTTATACTATCTTAAGAAATGAAGTCAATTAGCAAATGTACATCTATTTGTTAAGTGCTGAAATCAAGGGCAAAGCCTTTAGTTAAAATGTTAGCTAATTCTAGAAGTAGAGATACATGCCTATCTATTGAATTCATTTGTTAATGAACACTTGCTTGAACTATAATGTTTAATTTTTTAATGAAACCTTATTATCCCATATAGGCAGGTAGTAAAAATTTCTAGAGATATGCATTTACCATTCTAAATATAGATTGCATCTTCTAAATAAATTACAGTTCATAATTATATAAGAAAAATTATGCTCCATATAATCAAATCTTTCTTCTTATAGTCTATTTTCATTTCATTTTACTTTCATTAGCAAAACCTCACATTTATTCCCTAAAAGAAGATTCCATTTGTTTTTAGATATTAAGAATTTTCTTCTGAATATTTAAGTAAGGAGGCAATTATCCTTTGAATATTGACCTCAATTCTTGTTAATAATACTGTATTTACATATTACTTTATTTGATTTAAAATAACTTTATTGAAGCTAGAGCAAGGAACGGTTCATTAAAAAAAAAGTTTGAATTCTAGCTATGCCATTAATTCAGAGTTTCATTATCTTTGTAAAGAGGGATAACTGTATTTCTTCCATTGTATTGTTTTTTAGGGTTGGATGAGATAAGATGTGTTAAATTACCAAGCATACAATAGACGATTAAAAGATAATAGGTAATAGTCATTCAATAGTTAAACATTTGTGGAATTGAATGTAATGTTAATAAGAAAGTGCAACAAGTATGTAAAAGAAGTTTTGCATGTTTAAGAGATGTCAGTAATTGTGTCTATAAATCTGGGATATATAATATGAACTTTTTCTCTTATGCTAAAATTGTGGTTATGAGTAAACCCGTCTTGGGTTTTAGATGCCTGATTTTGTCATGTCATTTCATGGAGGACAAATGAAATTGATTAACAATTTTTATTGTTGTTTTTAGAACTGGGTCAAGGAAAAAGTTATTGGAATAGACTTCGATTTTTGGATACCTGTGAATTTATTATAGAGATCTTTTCCAAGTCATTTTTCTGTAAATACTTCTTTCTACCTACTATTGAACTGACACACGATCCAGTAGCAAATGTGAGGTATGGTACTAACCCAAGAAAATATTTGAAAACATTTTGGGTTTTTTGGTATATTTACTATAGTGAAAATATTCAACATCTTTCCCTGATTTAAAAATCAAACGAATTTATACTTGCTTTGAAATTCTAAGCAGTCTTCATTGATGGGTTTCAGTAAGACTTAGAAACAGTCTTCCAACACTGTCTCAGATGTTTGTTTTTATTTTAGTTGAGAGAGCATTATGTCTAAGTCAGATTGGCAAGAGTCTCCTGCCATGTGGGTACATACAGTGGTGTCAGGAGAAGTTGAGTAATGAGTTATCCAAGACTAAGGAAAAAAGATGACTTAACACAGTGGCAGCAACAATGGATTGTTTCAAACATAGGAACAAGTGTGAGGATGGTGCAGGACCGGGCAGTGCTTTGCTCTGGTGTACACAGGGTCACTATGATTCAGAACCAACTCGATGGTGCCTAACAGCAACAGCAAAGAAAAGAAGTCAGCAGCATGTTACTTCAAAGATGGCTTGGTGAGCATCTGTCCATTTCTGAGTCAGAACCGAGTCAGCAGCACTTAATAACAACAACAAATCTCTGGACAGAAGCCGGTCAGCTTTGAAGTCTTGTATAGCTTTTTCCTATGTTCACTGGCATTATGTGTTTTGAAATTTAGCTAATGTTGATTGAATTTGATTCATTAGCTATTAAGTTTGATGGAAGAGATCTGAAAATGACTTGCTTGAAAAATGTACATAAAAATACATATATTTTATACTTTTTCCCCTCCCAAAATAAGCATATTGTCTAAGAGTTATTTACATATCTCATAATGGGCATTTTAAACCCTCAGCCTTAGTGTGGGCTAAGCTCTGTTGCTGTGCCAAACAGGAAGCACTCGGCTCTGTAGGGAATAAAGATGCCAAAGACTCCCTAACCAAAACCCCCCAGGCCCCTGGCTGCATTTACACGTTGTGGCTGCATCGAGTATTATACTGTATGAAATATGGACCTGTTTTATTAACAACATGGTAAATGTCTCATGGTCAGCAGTTTGAGACTACCAGCTGTTCCATGAGAGAAAGATGAGGCTTTCTGCTCCCGTAAAGATTTACAGCCTCGGAAACCCTGTACAGGGTCACTATGAGTCAGAACCAACTCCACGGCACATAACAACAACAACAAACGTTACATTACTTTTAACATGAAGAGTTGGCAAGGCAGTAAGCTAGCATAGATTGTCCCCGTCTTGCTGTTGAAATGATACCAAAAAGAATTGTCAAGATGGGCACTATTTAAGGGGAACGCATTTAGAGGCGGGTTTCACTTGTATTTTTAGTGTGAGAATATACGGAACATGCAGCTGGGTTCACTGTCTTATTTTTCATCAAAATTCCAAGTGCATCTTTTCTGGGCTATATAAATGAGAGGTAGAATTTCCTTGACTTGAGATTGATAGTATATTTAAATAAATTTGTTGATTCAGTAAAACCTGCAGAAGCTGGAACTTGTATAAGACAGAAACCTGCCAGAGAAGGAAAACTCAAAATTTCCCACTAATGGAGAATGATAAAAAAAAAGTGGTCAGACTGCTCCCTGTTAAAGATGGAAAACTTGTGAGACCTGGAAAACAAGGCCGTTCCATCGAGTTCTGGTTCTCATAGATTTCACTATAATCTACTGGACCACAAGATCAGTTTGAACTGCAAGGTCGGCAGTTCAAATTCACCAGCTGCTTTTCTGAAACCCGATACAGGGTCGCTATGCGGCAAAACTGACTCCACGGCACTTAACAACAACAGTCAACTAATGAGTCTGACCATATTGCTAAAATTTATAAGTTGGAGTTGAGATTCTAGAAAAGCAACTTCCAATGTGGTGAGTTATTATCAAGAAGCTGATAAAAATTCTTTGAAAGGAAATGAAACCATCCATCTCTCCTCAAGTGAATGTGATTAAAAGTGTTGGCTTGACTGAGACAGCAGACTGTAAAGTCCAAGTCAAATGCAGACTAATGGAACACCCCTCCATCAATATGGGGGAGTTGTTTTCCTTTGTTAAAGATTATTGTGCGCTTCCCATTCTGCTCCCTGGGAGATTCCCAGCAACACCATCTATCAGCGGTCGGTGGCTCCAAGAGCCCAGCTCTGGAGCTATGCACAGGTGGAATGAAAGGCCTCACAGCCAAGGATAATGACATCACCTACTGGGTACGAGGACTGTCTCTGGAGCCACACTGCCTGAGCTGAAACTCTAGCTCTACACTACCTGTGTGTCTTAGGGCAAGTTATAAAACCTCCCTGTGCTTTGATTTCTTTAGTCCCTATTCATAGGGTATTCTGAGGAATGAATATCTGAGGTAATATGCATGAGGAATTTAGCTGACCTGTCAGAATTTTACGGAGATACATCACTTCTATGCCTTGTGTTGCACCTGCTGAATGCTCGTTCTAGACCTGCCTTGGGTTATAAAGAATGGAGAATACCTCTATAGGTTGTGAAGTGTTTTTGTTGTTTCTCATGTTAACATTTAAATTCACTGAATCTACACAGTATCAAGGTTGGAAACAGATTGTTGGTATTCAAAAGAGCCTTTCGTTGGCTTCTAGAAATAAAAACAAAACAAAAAACACCTCGTTATTTTTCTTGTTAAGTGTCATAGCGATCCTGTATAGAGTTTCTGAGGAGCAGCTGGTGGATTTGAACCACCAACCTTGCAGTTAGTGGTCAAGTGCTTATCCTATAGTGCCACACTGTTGTTGTTAGGTGCCATCAAGTCGGTACCAACTCATAGCAACCCTATGCACAACAGAATGAAACACTGCCCGGTCCTGGGCCAACCTCACAATTCTTGCCACGCTTGAGCCCACTGATGCTGCCACTTTGCCAATCTATCTCGCTGGGGGTCTTCCTCTTTTTCTTTGACCCTCCACCTTACCAAACATGATATCCTTCTCCAGTGACTGGTCCCTCCTGATAATATGTCCAAAGTATGAGAGACGAAGTTTGGCCATCCTGGCCTCCGTGGAGCACTCTGGCTGCACTTCTTCCAACACAGACCTGTTGGTTCTTTTGGCAGTCCACGGCACTTTCACTATCCTCCTCCAACACCTTAACTCAAAGGCATCAATTCTTCCTTGGTCTTCCTTATTCACTGTCCAGCTTTTGTATGCATATGAGGTTATTGAAAATACCATGGCTTTGGTCAACGCACACCTTATTCCTCAAGCTGAAATCATTGCTTTTCAACACTTTAAAAAAGGTCTTGTGCAGCAGATTTTCCTAATGCAATACGACTTTTGATTTCTTGACTGCTGCTTGCGTGAGTGTTGATAGTTGATCCAAGAAGTCCTTGACAACTTCAATCTTTTTCTCTGATGAAAAGAATGTTGTTTATTGGTTCAATGGTGAGTATTTTTGTTTTCTTTACATTGAGATGCAATTCATACCGAAGCCTGTGCTCTTTGATCGTCATCAGTAAATATTTTAAGTCTTCTTCACTTTCAGCAAGCAAAGTTGTATCATCTGCATATCGCAGGTTGTCAATGAGTCTTCCTTCAATCCTGACGCCACATTTTTCTTCATATAACCCAGCTTTTTAGATTATTTGCTCAGAATACAGGTTGAATAAGTATGGTGAAAGAATACAACCTTGTCACCCACCTTTCTTCATTTTAAACCATTCAATGTTCCCACGTTCTGTTTGAACAGCTGCCTCTTGGTCCATGTACAGATTGCTCATGAGCACAATTAACTGTTCCGGAATACTCATACCTTTCCACTTTCCACTTCCAAAACTCAAACTCCTTTTTTCTATCACCTCAACTCCAATCCCTCAGCACATCCTGTTGTTTGCAAAATACATCCAGAATTCTACCGCTTCCCATTACCTCCACTGCTGCACTCTGGCTGGAGCCCCCATCATCCCTTGCCTGAAGTATTATAAGAACCCTCTCTGTGTCCTTCCTCCCGTCCTTGACCACCTACAGTCTCATGTTAACACAGTAGTCAGATCGTTTCAGGTAATTTCCCACCTTGGCTCAAAACCTTCCAGTAGCTTCTCACCGGGAGACAAAAAGCCAGAGGCTGGTCTGCGAGGCCCTGCTGGAGGTGGCCTCCTCCTGCCTCCTCCTGCCTCCTCCTTCAGTTGCAGCCACAGAGGCCGAGGTGCTGACTGGGGGCAACACCTGGTGCAAGCTCCCCCTACAGGGCTTTATCATGCTCTTTCCCGATGGTCTCTTTCCTGAATTTTCTTTAGGTCTTTGGTCAAATGTTACCTCAGTCAAAGACTTGGCTGGGCTCCTGATTGAAAACGGAAGTCCCTTCCCCTCTACTACTTGCCTTGTTGTTGTTGTGAAGTGTCGTCAAGTTGAATCTGACTCATAACGACACTAAATAGGGTTTCTGAGGAGCAGCTGGTGGGTTTGAACTGCCACCATTGTGGTTTTAGAGTCCAGTGCTGACCCTACAGTGTCACACCAGAAGTCTGTCCCTGCTTTATTTTTTCCACAGCGCTTACTGCTACCTGACAGACTATATGATTTATTTCTTTATTTTCTCTCTAAAATGTAAACTCCATGAAAAGAGAAAACTTTGTTAGCTTTATGTGCTGGTGCATCTCTGCACCCAAAATCATGTTGGGCACATAACAACCAAAATCCCACTGCCATCGAATCTGTTCTGACTCATAGTGACCCTAGACAACAGGGCAGAACTGCTCATTAGGCTATAAATCGTAGTGGGAGCAGACAGCCTCAGCTTTCTTATTCGGGTTGAGGAGTGGGTTTAAACGGCTGATCTTGTGGTTCGAAGCCCAGTGCTTAGCCCGTGACACTACCAAGTCTCCTTTGGTACATAATAAGCATTTATTCATATTGTTGCATGAATAAATGAACTCTCCGGCTAGCTAAAGCTTGGGTTTTCTTTCAATTTCCTATTATTGTTACTGCTAGTTTTTAAATGCACTCAAATAAAAGCTATTTCGTTTATTATAGAATGAAACTTTGCTACTTGTTGCCCAAAGTGAAAGCCACTCTAAAGATCCCTGCAGATAAGCATCTACTTCAGCAGTTAGAAATGTGTGTGAGAAAACTCCTATGTCAAGAAAAAGATAAAGATGTTCTGGCTATTGTCAAAAGGGTAAGTATCGCTCTTGCAATAGCTTTTAGATCGCGTGCATTAAGATGTAGAGTTAACTATAGCTGCACTGTTCCACCTGATAGGATAGCAATAAGCTACAGTGTTAACTTCCTTGCTGAGAGTGGTAAGGAGAAAAATGACTTGGTTAATGTGTGATATAACTGGCTATGAAAAGCATTTCTAAAGGGCACTTAGATGTTGAATTTTTATTGCTAGGCATAAAAGCTTCCGAAAGTTGTGCTTGACACATGTTATTGTCTTGCTAAGTGCCTGTGAGTCAGTTCTAACTCATAGCAACCCTGTATAGGGTTTCCGAGGCTTTAAATCTGTGCAAGGGCAGAAAGCCTCATCTTTCTTTTGCCAAGTGGCTGGTGAGCTTGAACTGCCTCTGCCTCATGGTTCGCAGTCCATTGCTTATCCTACAGAGCCAATGTGCTCCCATGTTAGGTGAGCACTCAATAAATCCTGCTCAACAATTTGTGAATACGTTATTCATTAGTGAATACGTTATTCGCCAGACCTTAGTTATAAGTGATTATACAGTTCAGTACAACTTTGTTGGTGAAACTTGGAAGATGCTCAAAGTGACTTCAGCAGTCTGTTTGGCCTAACCATGTGAAGGTGTCCACCAGTCTTCATCTAGTTCTTTGGCTATGAATGTGTCCCATTTCAACAATGTGACAGTGTGTCTATGATGTTTGTTTGTTTTGTTTCAGCTTGTCATCTTAGTGTATGAATTGGGAGTGTGAAAACCTAAAATAGTAAAAATTTAGGTCAGTGAGGTCAAACCTTAAAATAATTTAAGTGTCTTTAAAAGCTCTGTATATTTAAGCTATAACTATAAAAAGGTTGGTAGAACTGCAAGGTCAGCAGTTCAAACTCACCAGCCACTCCTCAGAAACCCTCTGCAGGGATGCTATCAGTTGGAAACAACTCGATAGCACTTAACAACAACAACAACAACAGCAACAATACTTTTTGTAAGATTAAATCAAGTGATTATTTTTGTGAATCTGAATGTCAGTTTCATAGTTGACACCCTATTTTATGCAAATAACACACATTATAATTTTTTGCAAACACAGTTCACTCACCTTTTAGTTTCCTATGCACACTGCGTGTTATATGTGTGGATGCATTACTTACTTTGGTGTATTATTTGTGAAACATATGGTATTTGTAGTGAGAGACATTACTATTTTAAATAACATTGATGGCATTTGTTACACTTGTGAACACCATTCTTTTTTTTCTCATCCCTACAATCATTGGCATGTTACATAAGACTCAATAGAAGCTTTTTAATGAAATGCTTTGAATTTAGCATTAATTAGTATAATTTTATTTTACTAAAATATGAATTCCTCTTTCAGTAAGTGAAATAACCAGCAATACTCAGCCTGGACATGCATCTAAATTTAAAAGCATGACATGAAGGTTTAGGTGTGTGGGAGTGCATATATGTGAGAGGTCTTCAGAAAGTTTGTGGGAATTGGAATAAGAAGATAATGAAATTTTTCATGTACTTTTTGAAATATATATGGATACACATACACACACACCTCCACCTGTTACTTACAGATGTTATATTACAGAAGTTATATTATCCATCTGTTATATTACAGAAGTTCATGTTGCTGTCCTGGTATATCACTATAGGATAAGCACTGGATTGCTAACCACAAGGTGGGTGGATCAAACTCACCAGCTGCTCCTTAACCACAGGGTTGCTGTGAGTTGGAACTGACTCGATAGCACTTATAACAACATGTTGTTAGATGCTGTTGAGTCGGTTCTGACTCACAGCAACTCTATGCACAACAGAATGAAACACTGCCCAGTCCTGCTCCATCTCACAATTGTTGTTACGTCTCAGCCCATTGCTGCTGCCACTGTGTCAGTTTATCTTGTTGGGGTCTTCCTTTGTTTTGCCAGCCCTCCACTTTACCAAGTATGATGTCCTTTCCCAGGGACTGGTCCCGTCTCATAACATGTCTGAAGTATAAGAAACAAAGTCTCACCATCCTGGCTACTAAGGAGCATTCTGGCTGTACTTCTTCCAACACAGATGAGATGTATTGTTCTTCTGACAGTCCATGATACTTTTAATATTCTTCTCCAACACCATAACTCCAATGCATCAATTTTTCTATGGTCTTCCTTATTCATTGTCCAACTTTCACATGCATTTTAAAAATACCATGGCCTGGGTCAGGTACACCTTAGTCTTCAAACTGACATCTTTACTCTTGAACACTTTAAAGGAGGCTCGTGCAACAGATTTCCTAATGTAATATGTCGTCTAATTTCTTGACTGCTACTTCTATGCGTGTTGATTGTATATCCAAGCAAAATGAAATCTTGGACAACTTTAATCTTTTCTCTATTTATCAAGCTGTTATTTATTGGTCCAATTGTGAGAATTTTTGTTTTGTCAGCATTGAGGTGTAATCCATACCAAAGTCCTCTTTGCTTTCAGCAAGCAAGCAAGGTTGTATCATCTGAGTCTTCCTCCAATCCTGATGCCACATTCTTCATATAATCCAACTTCTCGGACTACTTGCTCAGCCTAGAGATTGAAAGACTATGATGAAAGGATACAGCCCTGATTTTAAACCATTCATTATCCCCTTATTCTTTTCTAACAACTGCTTTGTGGTCTATACACAGGTTCCTCATGAGTAAAATTAAGTGTTCTGAAATACTCATTTTTTGCAGTGCTATCCAGAGCTAGTCATGGTCCACACAGAAGAAAGTCTCTGCATAGTCAATAAAGCACAAGTAAACATCTTTTTGGTATGGTTTGCTTTCAGCCAAGGTCCATCTGACATCAGCAGTGACATCCCTAGTAGTCCCATGTCCTTCTATGTATCTGATCAGCTCTTTTACCGCCTCATTTCTCAAAGTCACAGTAGCTTCACTTGGCTCAAGAGTAAGTTTCCAGTTCTTTTCTGACATTCATGCTCTTCCCTTTTGGATTTCTCACTCCAGGTTTTGCACATTTCTTTGCACTACTCTATCTATCTTCTTGAGCTGCCCTCTGACATTTTCTGTTCAGCTCTTTAACTTCCCATTTCTTCCAGTCACTTTAACTTCTTTCCATTCAAGGGTAAATTTCAGAGTCACTTCTGACATCCATTTTGGTCTTTCTTTCTTTGTTGTTGTTAAGTGCTGTTGAGTCAGTACTGGCCCATAGCAACCCTGTACAGGGTTTCCAAGGAGTGACTGGTGATCTTGAACCTTGCAGTTCAAACCGACCTTACAGTCGAGCTATTAATCTACAGCACCACACCGGGACTCCGGTTTTCCTTTTAGATATATGGATATTCTGCTATCACAGACAGCATTGTACTTTAAGATAGATCTTGAAATATTCTTTTTGACAGTGAAAATGTGATGCAGTTACTCTTGAGTTTGTGGTTTGCAGCATAGTAAAGCATCTGATTGTCTTGATTCAGTATGACCAGTCCCAGTCCACTTCAGCTAAGTAATTCCTAGGATATTGGTCCTTATGTGTTCCATTTCGCTTTTGAAGACTCCCAATTCTCCTAGATTCATACTTCATAAATTCCATGTTCTGATTATTCATGGATGTTTGCAGCAGTTCCTTCTCATTTTGAGTTGTGCCCCATCAGCAAATGTAGGTCCCACAAGCTTTACTCCAGTCACATCATTGTGGTCAACTCTATTTTGAGGAGGCAGCTTTCCCCCAGTAATATTTTGGGTGCCTTCCAACCTGAGGGGCTCATCTTCCAGCACTGTCTCTGTCACTGATCAACTGCTAGTCTTCTGTTCATTTCCGGTACTATTTCTGACAATGTTAGCTGCTCTCATCAAGTTTTTAGTGGCTGGAAATTCAAAAATAGCCTGCCTCTCCTTCTTTCTAGTCTGCTTTAGTCTGGAAGCTCAGCTGACAGCTGTCCACCACGGGTGACCCTGGTATTGAAAATACCCATAGCACAGCAACACGCAAGCCACCACACTACAACTGATTGGCAGATGAGTTTTGAACAGAAGTTTATATCGTGGAGTTAACTTGTCAAAATAATACAGATGAGCGAGTTTGTTGTTTTACTGAAATAATTCAAGAGATACTTCAAGACAAACTTATAAGTAGGTACAATGATGATCTAATAAAAAAAAACGGGTGAGTTGGAATAGACTCCACAGCACATAACCACCACCACTACCATCGTCACCACCACCACAATCCATAATGGATCATTTTGGAGTACAACTCTTGTTCATGTAACAGCAGGAAGTCAAGTTGCCCTGGAAAATATTGTAGTGTAAAGTTTATGAAACTGAGGTATTGGTCTGGAAACTAAGGAAGCTACACAAAGCTTTCAGATAAAAAAAGGAATAGCTTACTTGCTACTGTTTTTAAAGGGGGAGTAATTATTTTTTAAAAAATGGTATTTATCATAACTATAAAATTTTAAATAAATTTTATGAATGAAAATAAAGCTTTACAGATACATTGTATTTGCAATGGGTACTTTGGGCTTATGAGTATATAACTAAACCATCTTGCATTTTGGCTATTACATTTATACCGTTAGGATGCTTTTGAGAAATATTTCCCAGTGTCAGAGACTGGGTCACAATAATTTGTGGACTTCTGGTGAGGCACTGTAGGACCAGCATTGGACTGTGAACCACAAGGTCAGCAATTCAAACCACCAGTTGCTTCTCGGAAACCGTATACAGGGTCACTGTGAGTCAGAACTGATTCAATGGCACTTAACAACAACAATGGTGCATTCTGAAATACAAGTTTTAAATTGAGAGACTACATTCAGAGCAAAGTCTTCCAATTGATCAGAGTAACCAAAATTTTCTATGGAAAGAAACTAAGTATTTTCTGCCAACTGATAGACTATAGCTTGCCTCAGATCAATTTTGCTAAAAATGAAGTTGTATTTCTAAAAATTTAGAAAAACTGATATTAGCAGCTATTAGAAACTGTTTAAATTGCCTGTGTTTAATATTTAAAATAGGCTTCTATCCTTATTTTTCTCAAGATTAAAAATCTTAAATGAATCCTCACATAATATATCGAGTTTGATTATGTATACAGCCTAGAATGGGAAGGGCCTTCAGAAGCTTCTCAGGTTAGCCTTCCACTGCCTGGTGCAGAAGTCTCCTCTGAGCTTTCCTTGGTAAAGGAATCGCTTTGAGAAATGACTGGGTTAGTTACCTGTAATAATTTTGAACTTTCTTTATAGACCGTATTAGAGTTGGACAGAATGGAAATGTCCATGAACGCTGTGAGTACACTCCTTTTACCACAGTTAAATTGAAAGAAATACTTAAAAATTGGCAGAAACTTATCACTTACATTTCCCAATTTTATTTTTAACTTTAAACAGTTTCAGAAAAAGTTTTATGAAAAAGATTTGTTGGATCAAGAGAAAGAAAGAGAAGAATTGCTTCTTTTGGAAATGGTATGTTGTTTTCCTATACATACACACACATGCACACACACAACCTTCAGTACTTTGCTCATGCTGTTGTTGTGTGCTGTTGGGTCAATTCCAACTTGTAGCAAGCGACCCTATATAGGGTTTCCGAGAACAACTGTCAGCTTTGTAGTTAGCAGCCCAGTGTTTATCCTACATTGCCTCAGAATCCTTCAATTTGCAACTCAAGGCTTGGACTTTTTCTTCAGTTTTTGCAGCTTGAGAAATGCTGAGCATATCTTCCCTTGTGGTTTTACACGTTTCATTGTTAATAGTTGACTTTGTTTACTCCAACAGCCGTTTGAAATCTTCTATTCACCTCTTTAATGTCATCATTTTTTCCATTCACTTCAAATAATGTATGTTGAAGGGCAAGCTTCAGGTCTCTTCTAACATACAGTTTTTGGTCTTTTCTTTTTTTCCTGTCCTTTGCTTTCTTCATGGTTTACACAAATCTATCCTACGATCTCCAGGGCGGTTGCTTCTCTCCCCAAGACCGGATTTTCCAACTACTCATCCTTCTTCCCTGTTTCTAATTTTTGCATTCCAATCATTGGTGTGATTTCTAATGCATCTTGATTGCATGTTTAATCAATTTGAGACTGCGGAAGTTGGTAAAAATCTTTAATTTCTAAATCTTTGGCTTTAGTGGTTGGTGCATACATTTGAATAATAGTTACATTAACTTAACTTCCTTGAAGGTGTGTGTATGGATATCACCCTATCACTGACAGCATCAGGACAGATTTTGAAATGGTTTTTTTTGATGATGAATGTGACACCATTCCTCTTCAGTTTGTCATTCCCAGAATGTTGTTGTAGTTAGCGGCATTGAATCAGTTCCGACTCAGACGTAACAGAACACAGCACCGCCCGGTCCTACACCAGCCTCACAATTGTCATATCTGAGTCCATTGTTGCAGCCAGTGTGTCAGTCCAGCTCGTTGGGGGTCTTCCTGCTTTTTGCAGACTCTCTACTTTACCAAGCACGATGTCCTTCTCCAGGGACTGGTCTCTCCTGACAACATGTCCAAACTATGAGGAACAAAATCTTACTATCCTGGCTTCTAAGGAAAATTCTGGTTGTACTTCTTCCAACACAGGATTGTTTGTTCTTCTGGCAGTCCATGATACTTTTAATATATCTTTTGCAACACCATAACTCAAATGCATCAATTCATTGTCTGACTTTCACTACATATGTTGTTGTTGTTGTATGCCGTGGAGTCGGTTCCAACTCATAGCGACAGTGTACAGGGTTTCCGAGGCTGTAAATCTTTACGGGAGCAGAAAGCCTCATCTTTCTCCCGCGGAACAGCTGGTAGTTTCACTACATATGAGGGGACTGAAAATACTATGGGTTGGATCAGGTCCACTTTAGTCCTCAAATTGGTATCTCTGATCTTTAACACTTTCAAGAGGTCTTTTGCAGCAGGTTCACGTAAGCAGTTGGTCGTTTGACTTCTTGACTGCTGCTTTCATGAGCACTGATTGTGAATTCAAGAAAAATGAAGTCTTCGACAACTGCAATCTTTTCTCCTTTTGTTGTTGCTATTGTTAAGTGCTGCCGAGTCGGCTCCAACTCACAGCGACCCTGTACAGTGTGTCCAAGGAGCGGCTGGTGTGTTTGAACCGCTGACCCTGTTGTTTAAAACCGACTTTACCGTCCAGTGTTTTATCCCACAGTGCCATACCAGGTCTCCTTTTATCATGATTTTATGAATTGGCCCAGTTGTGAGGATTTTTGTTTTCTTTCTATTGAGGTAAAATCCATACTGAAGGCTTTGATTATCATCTTTGCTTTCAGCAGGCAAGGCTGAGTTATCTACATGTTGTAGTATATATATCCTATAACTGTGTAATTCAAAATGGCCAAGCTCAGTCCATTTCAGCTCACTAATACCTAGGGAACCGGTTTCATTCACTTCATTTTGGAGCATTTATGCTTACAGTCATACTTCACACATTCCAATTGCTTATTATTAATGGATGTTTGCAGCGGTGCCTGCTCATTTTGAGTAGTGTCACATCAGCCTATGAAGATCCGGAAAGCTCTGCTCCGTTCGTGTCGTTAAGGTCTACACTAGATTGAGGAGGCAGCCTTTCAACTTGAGGCTCTCATCTTCTGTCACTATATCAAACAGCGTCCCACTGCTATTCATAAGGGCTTCGGTGGCCAGCTTCTTGGAAGCAGATTGGCAGGTTCCCCTTTGTAGTCCACCTATTAGTCTGGAAGCTTCATTGAAACGTGTCTCCTGCGGGTGACTTCCAGCATCAGAGTAACACGCCTGCCGTCAGAGTATCGTAAAATGAGTGGTTTGTAATGTTCTCATACTGTACTTTTTAGTATATATAGACTCTCTGGAGAAGACCCATTTCATTCTTAGTGATATCTGTTGTCCCCTCTTTCTTAAATTCTAGTTTTTTGGTGTCTCTAGAGATTATAACATACATTCCTAAGCTTTCACTGTCTATTTGTCATTAATATTGTATCTTTAGTATGTTGTTGTTAGGTGCCATTAAGTCGGTACCAACTCACAGTGACCCTATGCACAACAGAACAAAACACTGCCCAGTCCTGGGCCAACCTCACAATTGTTGCCACACTAGAGCCCACTGATGTTGCCACTCTGCCAATCCATCTTGCTGGGTCTCTTCCTCTTTTTCTCTGACCCTCCACCTTACCAAACATGATATCCTTCTCCAGAGACTGGTCCCTCCTGACAATATGTCCGAAGTATGAGAGACAAAGTTTGGCCATCCTGGCCTTCAAGGAGCACTCTGGCTGCACTTCTTCCAACACAGATCTGTTGGTTCTTTTGGCAGCCCATGGCACTTTGAATATTCTCCTCCAACACCATAACTCAAAAATATCAAGTCTTCTATGGTCTTCCTTATTCACTGTCCAGCTTTCGCATGCATATGAGGTTATTGAAAATACCATGGCTTGGGTCAGGTGCATCTTAGTCCTCAAGCTGCCATCTTTGCTCTTCAACACTTTAAAAAGGTCTTGTGCAGCAGATTTACCTAATGCAATTTACCTAATTTACCTAATGCAATTTACCTAATACGTCATTTGATTTCTTGACTGCTGCTTCCGTGAGTGTTGATAGTTGATCCAAGAAGAATGAAGTCCTTGACAACTTCAACCTTTTCTCCGTTGATAAGAATGTTGTTTATTGGTCCATCTTTAGAATGGCTACCTAAAATGATTATATTTACCATTATTATAACATCTTGACAACAATATGACAATACCTTCAGTTAACAATGATGTGTTCCTTTGCCCATGTTACACTTCTCTTTTATGTTACAGTTATAAGTTACATCTGTATGCATTAAAAAACCCCAACTTGTAATTTTTACAATAAGTTATCATGTGTCTTCATTCATTACTTAGGATCCACATTTCCCTCTTCTTTTCAACCGGAAGAACTTTCTTTACTAGTTCTTTTAGTGTAGGTCTCCTGGTGACAAATGTTCTTAGCTCTTCACTTATTTAAGATGTATTTCATATGCATTCCTGACAGTTAATCCTGACTGCAAATAAAATTCTGAATTCATAGCCTTTTTCTCTATGTATTTTAAGGATACGTTTCTATTTGTCTTTTGGCTTTCCTGCATCTAATGAAAAACTGCTATCACTTGGGTTGTTTTTCTTCTGTATGTAATATTGTTTTTCTCTGGCTATTTTCAAGATGCTTCTAGATCTTTTTGTTTTTACTGGTTTGATTTGTATGTGTTTAGATGTGGTTTTATTTTAATTCATCATATTTTGGGTTTGCTAATTCTCCTGACTCTGTAAAGGTTTGGCACTTCCCAAATTTGGGAAGCTTTGGCACACTCTTAGCTTAAACATATGTTCTGTCCCAGCCTCTGCTTCTGGGTCTCCCATTATGCATATGGTGGAACCTTTGATACTGCCCTACAGGATTCCGTCCTTTGGCGCCTCAGATGAAATCATTTTCCATGCCTCTGCCATTTCTTCTCTCATCTTCATTCTGCTATTGAGCTGATCTGGGGATTTTGTTCTTATTTCTGATATTTCTCAGTTCTAAAATTTCTTTTTGGTTCTTTTTTATATTTGTTACATTTCTGCTTAGAATTTTGGTAGTGTATGGTTAAAAACCTCTGAAAACCAAAGTGCATTATTTTTTGCATTCTTGTGAGACTTGGACTAGAGGCCAGGATTGCTGATGATTGTAGAGAATGCATTCCCACCCACTGCCCTCAAGTTGATTTCTGCTCATGGCAAAGCAGGTTTGTTTTTAGGAACATCTGACCTAAAACCAAGCCAAAAAGCAGAAAATAGACCCCCCCCCCCCCACACACACACACACAGAGAGAGGATCCTGATTTTGTAGTTAGGAACAGATGAGGACTTCAAAGACAGCTGTGATTAATATGATCATTAATAGAGAAAAAGATGGGGAAATGGATGACTGCTGTAAGACGCACCTAATAATATTTGATTTTCAGTTCTAGAATCTCCTCTTGATTCTTCTTTGTGTGGGGTTCAGTTTTCTGTAGAGATACTTCGTTGTGTCACCTGTGTGCGCGCATGTTTTTCTGGAGTTTACATATGCGAATGAAAAGAATGTATGTTCTCCACTTGTTGAGTGCAGTGTACTGTAATGTCTGGTCATTTGTTCAGAACATGTTATATGCATTGATTCCCGCCTCCCCCCCCCCATTGTTCTATTAGCACAGGGCTCCTGTGTATTGATAATGTTTTGTGTCTTGATCTAGGAGCTGGTGTATTCACTTGGTGAAAATGCATTGAGCTGTATACATTAATGTGTAAAGGAAAATAATATTTTTTTTCCACTTACCTGTTAGAAATTGAAATGACCAGTTATAACAGATATTTTGCTGATGAGAATCTGTCAATAGCTTATAGAAATCAGAGTCCATTGTAGCAGTGGTGGAGCCCCTGGCTGGTGCAAACCATTAATGCACTAAGCTGGCTGCCAAGAGGTTGGAGATTTGAGTCCTCCTAGAGGCAAGGAAGAAAGGCCTGGTAACCTCCTTCTGAAAAACCAGCCTTAGAAAGCTCTCTGAGGCACGTTCCTAATTGGACACACATGCGGCTGCCGTGAATCAGCGTCTATTTGTTGGCAACTGATTTTACAGAAGTGATACTAAACTCACTATTTTAGTTTGACAAAGCCCCGAAGGCACAGCAAATGTGGAAACATCCTGACTTCTTTAGGCACTCATTTTTAAACAAAACCAAACATTGATTTTATTTCTTTATTATTGTGAACCGAGTGATAGTTTATACATGGGAGAACATTGGCTTCACACCATCGTTTCATTGCAATGATTGTAGTCTCCTCGTGTATCACCATTCAACAGTATCTGCTTCCATTCCCTCTGTTTTTATTTTTTTGGGGGGTGGGGGTGGGGTGGGGAGGGATGTACACAAAAACACTCAGGAACATATAATAATTTAAACAACCAAAGGGTATGTTCTGCAAGCCTGCTTCCTGGCCGCAAGCACTCAGTCCCTCTCTTTCTATGAATCTAGAGTTCTCAGCTGCTTCCTTTCTCCATGTCCCCATCTCTGCCTCCATCTTTGGTGTCACTGTTTCTCTGGATAGGGTCCTGCATTCCACTCATGCTCTTCTACCGTGAAAGTCCTAGGGTCCTCTGTTTCTGGACTGTAAGATTAACTACTCCCCTGCAAAAACATCTTTTAATAATTTTTGGAAACCACATTTGTATCCATAAACTTAGAGCCATTACTTATTAGAAGACTGTCCTAAATTTATGTTAGTTGTACATTTAATGCTGAGAACATGTTTTAATAACAGGAACAACTAGAGAAAGAGAAGCAGCAGAATGATGGAAGATCCCTGAGTGATAAAACCTTTGAAAAGAAGCGTAAGTAATTTTCCTCTGCCATCTCTGCTGAGTTACAGCACTGATGTTGCAGCCTGCTTTCTGAAGGACCATGGCGAGTTAGTCGCTTGATGTAGACATTTGCCTCGCCTTCTTTTATTTTGCTAAGCGTTGTTTAAAAAATTAGCTGTTTCGTATGGTGCTGATTTAGGAATGAATAAGTAAATGATGGGGATCAGTGGAGAGTCCTTCAAAAGGACATCTTAGTTTAGTACCTGGGGTCTTAAAAAGTTTGCTCGTGGACTACCAAGTGACCACAGTAGTTCTGCACTTACCTGGAATACCAAAAGGAAGTCAGGAATAGGAGGAGGCCCTGTTGCCAAGATCTGCACCCTGTGCCTTGAGACCCAGAGACCTGGATGGTGGTACCTGTACTGAACAGTTTGATCTGAGCTTCTGGAGATGAATCCTGACTGAGGGGTGGGGAAATCATGGATCAGAATTTCAGATTCTCAGTGCAGTTCATACTTTGTGAATAAACACCGGAAACAGTTTCTTTGAGATAATCTTCAAACCTTAAACCTCAAACCACAACTTTCACTGAAGACTGCTTAGACCCCAACAACAGTTCAGCTTAATTTGTAACGTGTATCTGCCTTGAGCACTGAGCTCTTTCACAGATTTACCTTTGTGGGATGAAATTGACCACAGCATCCCAAAAGGCTAGGTAAGAAGCTTAGGGGACAGAGAATTTATGTTAAAATGGTGGAGTGAGATGGAGGAGGATAGCAAGGCCAGTACCAGGGCTTGAAGACTATCGAGTTGGGTTAGGTGTGGATTGTACTTGCAGAGTTTGTTGAACTGGTATGTCCTGTGCTGGGTATGTTTTCCCCAAGTGAACAAGCAAACCACGATAAAGGAACGTTTTAGGCAACTGTAACAGTAATTAGCAGTAATAAGTTTGTGACACTGATCGCTGAGTAATGAAGATTGAAGTGTATAAAATAAAACTGCTCGATAAGAATGTTGTTTATCCAGGGCAATGCTTCCTGTTTCCTGTGTTGTCTTATATATTTATAGAGCTTAATAAGGACTCAGGAAATTATAGAACTTAAAACAGACTTTATTATAGGTAGAGACTCTAAGACATCAACAAGTCTGCCCAAAAGCATCCCTGTTTCTGTTCCTGGACCCTCGTCTGCCAACCCATCGACAAGTAAGAAATAGCATTTGTTTTGCTTGTCTCTCTTATAAACACTCGTTTCATACAGAGTTGCTCTGTTGACCGAGGTCTGTTGTCCTCAAGCCTCTCTCGCTTTTCATTGCTCATTGTTTTGATAGTTGTTGTTGGTACGTGCTGTCTTGTTGATTCTTACTCAGAGGGACCCTGTATAGAGTTTCAGAGGCTGTAAATCTTTATGGGAGCAGAAAGCCTCATCTTTCTCCTGTACCATGAAGATAAATTTCCCATCAACCCAAACTAAGGAAAATCTGTATTTCACTGAAAATGATGGGAGTTGGGAGGAGATGGGAGTTGGGGGCAGGCAAGGATGAATGGAGCAGTTGCATTTTCCTTATTTCTGTTTATTACTCTAGGCAAAGAAATCAAGAAATCCAAATTGATTCGAAGCCAGTCTTTTAATAATCAAGCTTTCCACACAAAATATGGCAACTTAGACAAGTGCACTAGGTATGATCTGCCAGCTATTAACTTTGTAATTTAGTTTTTAAAATGATTTAGCCACACAGTTTTGTTTATGTGAAGTCTTTATTTACATTATTATGAAAATCATGATGATGGTGGTGGTTATATGCCATGGAGTCAGTTCCGACTCATAGTGACCCTGCATAGGATTTCCGAGGCTGTAAATCTCTATGGGGGCAGAAAGTCTCATTCTGACTTCGAGCGAACTTCTGACTTTGAGGTTATCAGCTCGACTCATAGCCACTAGGCTACCAGAGCACCTTAAGTTAATTTTGAGTTTTCATATAAGGCAGTAATTAAGTTTTCTTCTGAAAAGATTGCTGCGATCAAAGTTAGAAGTCTGTTGATTTGTATCAGAGTAGGTATCCTAGCATTCTGGAAAGAAGACCACCACCATCCACTGTTGGCTAACACCGTGTCTAGTTTCCTGAGGGAGCTGGTGCTGTCTCACAGACCCTGCAGGTCCTTAGGGTCTCTGAGACTATCAGTCTTCACAGGAGCAGGCAGCCTCATCATTTCTCTGCCGAGTGGCTGGTGGGTTTGAACCACCAACCTGTGTTTAGTAGCCCAAGGCCTAACCTGCTGCCCCACCAGGGCTCCTTGCTGTATCACATAGGAGACTTTAAATGGATGTGGACTGAGCCGAACCACTTACTAAAGAAATCCATCTCCTGCTAATATGATTTCTGCTTGTTAAGAAGCCACTGGTATGTTTCTTAGGCAAAGTGATCAGCATAGAGCTCTAAACTTAGCTCAGAAGACATGGTTACAAACACTGAATCTACAGCGAGCATTAGCGTTCATTAAACAAGTATGATGCTGGTAGGGGCTGTGTACAACAGCTGCATATCAATTGATAAGCAAAATAATTTTAAGAATGTATAATGTCTAGTGTGGCACTGTGGGTTAATGCACCAGACTGCAGAGTCATTTGAACTTGCTCGCCAGCTGCTCCTTGGAAACCCTATACAGGGTCACTGTGGGTCGGAACCAACTCGATGGCACTTCACAACAACAACAACAACAACAACATCTTTGGAAGTATCACTTACCTATTCTTTTGTCATTCATCTATCAAGATACGTAGCTTCTTACCCAAACACCAGCATTTTCTTATGTTAAAGGTAGCCTGTTCCAGATTTTCAGCAATTTTTGGACATTTTCAGTGTATTAATCTAAAGCAGGGGTGGGGAACCTTTTTTTCTGTCAAAATTTATAACATCATTCGCGGGCCATGCAAAATTATCAACTTAAAAATTAGCCTGCTGTATTTGGTCAAACATTTAGTTAACTTACCCACAACAGTATGATAGCTGGAACTGCAGATGCCTCATCAGGGCCAGACCAAATGATTTTGTGGGCCTTATTTGGCCTGCGGGTTATACTTTCCTCAGCCCTGGTCTAGAGTCTGATCAATAGGGTGACCTTCAAGAAGAGCAAAAGAGACTAGAGATAAAGGTCAGTTGTTTCCAAGAATCTTTTACCCATCTTCCTATGTTAGCTGAGCTTTCAAAGAAAAATTGTTCTTCTAATATCAAAGTGACAGGCAAAGTAAGGGCTGCGAGGCCCAGAATGTAGAAAAAATGAGAAATAAAGTAGCAAACATATTTCATAATTTGTTGTTAAGTTCTAACTCATAGAATCCCTGTATAGGGTTTCCGATGACTGGTGGGTTTGAACGGCTAACTTTACAGTTCAAACTGATAGTGCTTATCCTATAGCACCACACCAGGTAAAGGAACGCATTAACAACAAGGGCGAGGGGCTACACAGACGACGTGCCAGAGGCCTGTGGCTGCTGGGAGCCTGCGCATGCCTTCTAAAGTCAGTCCCGTTCTGTTCTAGTAAAACTCCCGCAGTGGCAGACTACACAGCTCCCGTCTCAGGGTTAACGAAGACTTCTGTACTGGCACTAACAGGTAAGTAACATCTGAGCTCTGTCAAACAATGCTAAATTTACACAAGAATGTTCTTTAAATAACTTGATTTTAAAACATATTCCACATAGAGTGTTTTTTCTAAATTTGTATCTTTATCATAACCCTAAGAAATGAAACTTGGCCCTAGTATTTGCGATACTTGATTCCCTAAGTAAGTTTGTTTTCACTGTGTTAAAGCCAATTGTTCAAGACTTTTAAGAGAGATGAAGGCCAGCATGGTAGGAGAAGCCCCTCAGTCTGAGGACCTGCTGAAGCGTAGACTGGAGCAGTGAGGCTTCACTGTGGACCATATGACTCCCACAGACTAATGCCCCTCAGCACTGTGACGGTTATCACAGACAGGGAAAGTCTGAGAGACTGTCACCGAGAAGGGGCTCCTAGGTAGATATTGCAGCCAAGTGCACTGTGCTGTCCTGAATGTGGCCCTGGGGCGGAAGAAGACATTAGATCAAAATGCAGAATTCTGAACTAACAGTAGACTATATTTCGTCATAACTTATCAATACCGATTCATTCCTTGTAATAAATGGAGCTTAGTAATGTGAGATCTTGATAAAGGTAGTTGTGAGAAGGGTATGAGAGAACTCTATTCATCTCAGTTTTTCTGTGAATCTATACTGCTGTAAAAATAAGGTTTATTTTAAAATGTCATTTACAATAACTTTAAGCACATTGAGTTTTTTGGGATAAATTTAATAAAATGTGTGTAATATAGACACAGAAAACAAACTTCAGAAGACTGCTGCAAGAAATCGAAGCCCTAGATAAATGGAGAGCTATACCGTGCTTCTGGATTGGATGACTTCACATGGTACAATGCCAGTTCTTTCTAAAATGATCCATAGATTCAATACAATGAAAATGCTTGCAGTCTTTTTGGAGAAATTTATAAGCTGATACTAAAATCTATATCAGCGTTCAAAGTCCCTAGTATGTCGTTGTTCGGTACCATCCAGTCAGTTCCAACTCATAACAACCCTACACACAGCAGAACCTGGCACTCACTGCCCAGCCCTGCGCATCCTCACAGTGCTGTTAGGTCTGAGCCCATTGTGGCAGCCAGTATGCCAAGCGATCTACTCGGGGCTCTTTCTCTTTTTCTCTGACCCTCCACTCTACCAAGCACGATGTCCTTCTCCGGAGACCAGTCCCTCCTGATAACATGTCCAGAGTATGAGAGATGAAGTCTGACCATCTTGACTTCTAAGGATCATTCTCACTGTACTTCCAACCCAGATCTGTTTGTTCTTTTGGCAGTTCATGGTACTTTAATATTCTTCTTCAACACCGTAACTCAGATACATCGATTCTTCCATGGTCTTTCTTATGCACTGTACAATTTTCACTTGCATATGGCTTGGGTCAGTCTCACGTTAGTCCTCAAAATGACATCTTTGCTTTTTGCAGAAATTTAAAAGCTGATGCTAAAATCTATATCAACGTTCACAGTCCCTAGCATGTTGTTGTTGTTAGGTTCCTCACGGTCAGTTCCAACTCATGCCAAGCCTATGCACAGCAGAACCTGGCACTGCCCAGCCCTGCGCATCCTCCCAGTTTAAAAGAGATCTTCAGCACCAGATTTGTCCGATGCAACATGTCATTTGATTTCTTGACTGCTATTTCTGTGCCTGTTAGTTGTGGATCAAAGCAAAATGAAGTCTTTGGTAACTTCAATCTTTTCTCCATTTATCATGATGTTACTTAATGGTCTAATGTTTGAGGACGTATGTTTCTTCACGTTAAGATGCAATCCATACTGAAAGCTGTATTCTTTGATCTTCATCAGTGTTTGAAGTTCTCTTAGATTTCAGCAAACAAGGTTGTATCATCTGTATATCATAGGCAATTATGAGACTTCTTCCAATCCCGATGCATGCCACTTTCTTCTTCATATAGTCCAGCTTGTTGGATGGTTTGCCCAGCATACAGATTGAATAAGAATGGTGTAAGTTACAACCCTGGCACACACCTTTCCTGACTTTGAACCAAGCAACATCCCCTTGTTCAAAGTACTGCCTCTTTGTCCACGTACAGGTTCCTTATGAGCACAATTAAGTGTCCTTGAGTAACTATTCTTTGCAATGTTATCTATAGTTTTTTATGCTCCACATGGTCAAATGCCTTTACATAGTCAATAAAACACAAGTAAACATCTTTCTGGCATCTCTGCTTTCAGCCAAGATTCATCTGATGTCAACAGTAATACCCATCTTTCCATGTCCTCTTCTGAAATGGGTTGGATTTCTGGTAGCTCCTTGTTGAGGTGCTGCTGCAACTCTTTTTGAATTATTTTCAGCAAATTTTTACTTTGTGTGATGTTAATGATAGTATTTGATAATTCTACATTCTGTTGTGTTGTCTTCCTTTGGGTACAAATGTCCATCAGTTTGGCCAGGCAGCTATCTTCCAAATTTCTTTGCAGATATTAGTGCGTGTTTCTAGTGCTCTGTCAGTTTGTTGAAACATTTCCATTTGTATTTCATCCATTTCTAGAGCCTTGTTTATTTGCTAATGACTTCAGTGCCGCTTGGACTTCTCCCTTCATTGCCATCAGCTCTTGATCGTATGCTATTGCTGAGATGGTCAATGAGTTCTTTTTGGTAAAATGACTCTGTATTCCTTCCATCTGCTCTTTTATTTTAATTTTTAAGTTTTTATTGTGAATTGAGTAATAGTTTACATTGGAGAACATTGGTTTTGCACTCATCGTTTCATTGCAATGATTACAGTCTCCTCTGTGCATCATCATTCAATGGTATTTGCTTCTATTTCCTATGGGTTTTTTTTGGGGGGGGGTGTTGGGGGAGATGTACACAAAAACACTCAGGAATATTTAATCATTTAAACAACCAAAGGGCACACTCTGCAAGCCTGCCTCCTGGCTGCCAGCACTCAAGTCTGTCTCTTTGCATGAGTCTAGAGTCCTCAGCTGCTCTATCTCTCCATGTCCTCATCTCTGCCTCCATCTCTGATGTCGCTGCTTCTCTGGATAGGGTCCCACATTCCGCTTGTGCTCTTCTCCCTTAATGGTCCTAGGGTTCTCTGTTTCTGGACGGTAAGATTAACTACTCCCTTGTTTTTGTTACCCCTCCATCTTCTTTTGATGCTTCCTGCATTGCTCAATATTTTGCTAAAAAAAATTTCACTATTGCAACTCAAGGCTTGAATTTTTTTCTTCAATTCTTTGAGCTTGAGCAATGTTGAGTGTGTTCTTCCCTTTTACTTTTCGGACTCCAAATCTTTGCACATTTCTGTATGCCCTTTGAAATGTTCTCTTCAGAACTTTTACTTCATCATTTCTTCCATTTGCTTTAGCTGATTTATGTTCAGGATCAAGTTTCAGAGTCTCTTCTGACACATGCTTTAGTTTTGTTTTGTTTTTTTGCTTTCCTGTCTTTTTAATGACCTTTTGCATTCTTCATGTATGCTGTTCTTGACGTTATCCCACAACTCCACGGTTCTTTGGTCATTAGTGTTTAATTAATCAAATCTGTTCTTGAGATGGTCTCAAAATTCAGGTGGGATATTTTGGCTCTCATTTTAATTTTCTTCTGCTTGAACTTGCATTTCATACAAGCAGATGATGTGTTGTTCCACAGTTGGCCTCTGGCCTTGCTTTAGCCGATGTAGCTGAGCTTCTGCATCTTCTATTCCCACAGAAGTAGTCAGTTTGATTCCTGTAGATCCCATTTGGTAGGCCCACCTGGATAGTTGCCATGTGATTTCCAGCATCACTTCTGTCAGCAAGGTCTTATTTTTCAAGTACCAATCCCTCCTACTTGTTTCCAGTGTTCCCATTCCAGTCACCAGTAATTATCATTGCATCTTGAAGGCATGTCTTATCAATTTTAGACTGAAGAAGTTGATAGAATTCCTTAACTTCTTCATCATTGGCTTTGTATTGGGCATACATTTGAGTGATAGTTGTGTTAACTGGTCTTCCTTGTTATTGTGATGTGCTGTTGAGACAGTTCTGCATACGGTTTCTGAGGAGCGGCTGGTGGGTCTGAACCTTGAATTTAGCAATCCAGTGCTTATCCTACAGCACCACACCAGGACTCTGGTCTACCTTATAGGTAAATAGATACTATCCTATAACAGACAGCATTGTATTTCAAGATAGGTCTTGAAATGTCCTTTCTGATGATGAACACAATGCCATTCTTCTTTAATTAATTCATTACCATTGTAGTAAACGTTATGATTCTCCTATTTAATGTGACCAGTACCTGTCACATTTTAGCTCATGAATGTGTAAGATATTGATCTTTATGTATTCTATTTCAATTTTGATGACTTCCAATTTTCCTAGATTCATACTTCGTACATTCCTTGTTTCGATTATCAATGGATGTTTGCAGCTGTTTTTTCTCCCTTTGAGTCATGCCCTATCAGCTAATGAAGGTGCTAACAGCTTTGCTCCATCCATGTCATTAAGATTGACTCTACTTTGAGGACGGAACCCTGGTTGTATTATAGGATAAGCACTGGACTCCTAACCACAGGTGTGCAGTTCAAATCCATCCATAGCTCCACAGGAGAAAGATGAGGCTTTCTCATCCTGTAAAGATTTATAGCCTTGAGAATTTCCTCCTGGGGTGCTATGAGTCATAATCAATTCGATGGCAGTGAGTTTTCTCCTTTGAGTAGGCAGCTCTTCCTTGATTGTATTTCAAATGGCTTCCAACCTGAAGGGCTCATCTTCTAGCACTATATCAGACAATGTTTTGCTGATATTAATAAGGTTTTCAAGGGCTAATCCCTCAGAATAGTGGCCGCATATTCCTTATTTCTAGTCTAGTCTTAGTCTGGAAGCTCTGCTGAAACCTGTCCACCATGGGTGACCCTGCTGGTTTTTGAAATACCAGTGGCATAGCTTCCAGCGTCACAGCAACAGAGAAGCCACCACAACACAACAAAATGACAGATGTGTGGGCCTAGTATAGACAAAGCATTTTTTAAAAAGACAAATGACTTGATTTCAACACATACTGTAGTAATCAAGACACTGTAACCACCTGGACATATACAGTCAATTGGTTTTCAAAAGAGACTCCAAGGTAAATCAATCACGATGGAATCTTTTTTGTGTGTTTTTTTTTGTTTGTTTGTTTTTTTTTTAATGGTACAAGAGCAATTGGATTCCCTATGAAACATTGTTGCTGTTGTTATGTGCCATCGAGTTGGTGATGACTTATAGCATCCTTTTGCACAGCAGAATGAAACACTGCCCGATCCTGGGCCAACCTCATGATTGTTGCCACACTTGAGCCCATTGATGCTGCCACATGGGCAACTCATCTCGTTGGGGGTCTTCCTCTTTTTCTCTGACCCTCCACCTTACCAAACATGAGATCCTTCTCCAATAACTGGTCCCTACTGACAATGTGTCCGAAGTATGAGAGATGAATCTTGGCCTCCAAGGAGCACTCTGGCTGCACTTCTTCCAACACAGATCTGTTGGTTCTTTTGGCAGCACATGTGGCACTTTCAATATTCTCCTCCAACACCATAACTCAAAAGCATCAATTCTTCTACGGTCTTCCTTATTTACTGTCCAACTTTCACATGCATATGAGGTTATTGAAAATACCATGGCTTGGGTCAGGTGCACCTTAATCCTCAAGCTGACATCTTTGCTTTTCAACAACTTTAAAAAGGTCTTCCTAATGCAGATTTTCCTAAAGCAATATGTCGTTTGATTTCTTGACTGCTGCTTCCATGAGTGTTGATAGTTGATCCAAGAAGAATGAAGTCCTTGACAACTTCAATCTTTTCTCCATTGATAAGAACACTGTTTATTGGTCCAGTGGTGAGGATTTTTGTTTTCTTTACATTGAGATGCAATCCATACCGATGGCTCTGCTCTTTGATCTTCGTCAGTAAATGTTTTAAGTCCTCTTCACTTTCAGCAAGCAAGGTTGTATCATTTGCATATCGCAGGTTGTTAATATGTCTTTCTCCAATCCTGATGCCACGTTTTTCTTCATATAACCTAACTTTTCAGATTATTTGCTCAGCATACAGGTTGAATAAGTATGGTGAAAGAATACAACCCTGTCGCACACCTTTCTTAATTTTAAACCATTCAGTGTTCCATGTTCTGTTCGAACAACTGCCTCTTGGTCCATGTACAGATTCCTCATGAATAGAATTGAGTGTTCTGAAATATTCGTACTTAACAATATGAAACATAGATGGACCTCAATTCTTACCTTATAATATTGAAGTATATATATAACATTAACTCAAAATAGATTGTAAATTTAAAAGCAAAACCGATGAAATTTCTGGAAAAAAATTGAGAAGAAAACCTTTGTATTTTTGGAGTAAACAAAGATTTCTACTAACCGTAAAAGAAAAAAGCATTAAGTAAATAATGGCAGATTAGAGAAAATATTAATAATTGATATATCTAAGAAAGAACTTTTATCCAGAATATATAAAGAAGTAATTTAAACCATTAAGAAGGCAGCCCAATTTAAAAATAGGCAAAAAATTTGAACATGTATTTCACAAATAGGACATGGAAAGATGCTTAACATCACTAACTGTCGTTGAGTGCTGTCGAGTCGCTCCCAACTCATAGCGACCCTGTATAGGGTTTCTAAGGAGCGGCTGGTGAGTTTGAACCATTGACTTCACGGTTCAAACCAACCTTGCGATCCAGTGCCTTATCCCACAGCACCACACCAGGACTCACTAATTGTTAGGGAAATGCAAAGAAGAGATAGTATTAAATTTGACATACTCTGTATTACCACTAAGACCTACATAACTGACTGCCATTGAGTCCGTTCCAACTCGTAGTGACCCTGCAGGACAGAGTAGGGGCTCCAGGCTGTGGTCATTTATGGAGGCCGACTGCTGCAGCTTATTCCTAGAGAGCCCAGTGGGGTCAAACAGCCAACCTTGTGGTTAGCAGCTGAGTGCTTAACCATTGTGCCACCAAGGCTCCTATATGTACCACTCGAATATACAAAAAAATGTTTTTGTTACAGGTTTATAGTACTCAGTGCTTGTGATGGTGTAGAGTAACTACAGTGTCCGACATGGCTGGGTAGAATCACTGATAATAGTTCGGCAGTTTCTTGTCAAGATACACAGATAGCCATCCTAGCAGGGCTACTTCCAGGCATTTACTGAAGAGAAACAAAAACCTACATACACACACAGACTCATACACAAATGCTCAAGGCAGCTTTATTTGTAATAGAAACTAGAAGCAATCCAAATATTTACCAACAGGAGAAACAGTAAATATTTCATTTATGCAAAGGAATTCTAGAAAGCAATAATTGATAAACTATATACAATAACATGAATATCTCATGAACTACGCTGAATGGAAGAAATCAGATAAAAAAAAGTCCATAATGTCTGTCTTAGAGAAGTGAGACTTACATATGTGTATATATAAAGAGAAGTTTATATCCAGGAACTGGCTCACAGTTGTAGAGTCCCAGGTCCTTAGTGGAAGAGAGAGAGTGAGAGTCTTTGCCACATGCCCGTTATTTTGGGCGCAGGCCACACCCACAGGAAAGCATCCCTTCAGTTGATTGGCTGCATGTAGCCACTCATCATAGAGCTAACTATGCCTGTATTAGGTTTCATCACCATGGGAATAAGCACATCTCAACAATCAAACCAACCCAGTCAAGTTGACACAGAAACCTAGCTATTGTATGATTTCATTTATATAAAATCTTAAAACATGCAAAAACATCTCTGGTAACAGAAGCAAATCAGTGGTTGCCTGGGCAACGGGCAGGATCAGTGGCGGGTTACTCTGGGGCATTAGGAGACTCTTGGAGCTGGTGGGTGTGTCCCTCATCAGACTGTGGTGATAGCTTCATGGGTGCACTCGGCTAGCTTCAGAAGGTTTATGGAAAAAATTTTTTTTCTTTTGAAACTTTTTATTGTGAGTTAAGGTTTATAGAGCAGATCATTCATTATTTACACTTAACAAATCACACTTTGTTTCATCTCAATGATTGCAAACCCCTCATGTAACAACACTCATCCCATTTCCTCTCCTTGGTTTTTGTTTCCATTCCACCCTCCTTCCCATCCCTTCTGAGCTTGGTCCTTAGGTAAACGTTGCCCTTTGAATCTTGAATGGTTGCCCATTACCTTGTGAGCATACCTTAATAGTGCTGTTGTACCCCTATATACCTGTCTACCTCTTGACTGATAATTGGGCCACAAGGGTGACTGAAGGGCAGCCAAGGACCATGGTCTTGATTTCTTCAATCTCTTTTTTTCACAATTTTGAGTTTCATCCCACATTTTCTTCCACTGTATCTGGGACCTTCTAATGTAATGGATAGTGGTAACCGGGCACTGTTGAGTTCTGGTCTCAGATTCATGATGACTGAGTTTACCTGTTCCATTAGTCTACTGACTAGTTGATTCAAACATCTTCAGTTTTCATCTCTCTTCTTTCCTCCATACAATGGAGAAGCCAATAGTTGTACCGTATATGGCTGTTCATGAGCTGTTAAAATCCCAGTCACTACTTACCAAAGTAGGATGTAGAACACTGTCTTTGGGGACTATGTTATGCCGATTGACCGTGGTGTTCCCTGAGAATATGGTCCTAAACCTCTAGGCCCAGCAACTCGTTGCATCCAGATGTTTGGTAATATCTAAGACATTTTCATTATTTTGCCTCCTGTGTGCTCCAACACATTCATAGGTGTGTTTGCAACCAAGGTAAATACTCATGTACAAATATCCTCCCTCCCACACCAGCTCAGCCCATGTGTCTGTCCATGTATCTAGCTGTAGAACATTGCTTCAGGGTTAGGTATATAACAGTATTTACCTCCATCCCCTTTAGCCCTTTCCTTTGTCCGTGTGTCTTCACCTGTCTTCTTCATCCTTCTGCCAATCTCCCTCTAGTTGTGTGTTGCTTTCCCCGTCACTGAGTTACCATGTGTCTACCCTCTAGATGGTGAATTACTCTTCCTTCCCTCTCACCCCTGGTAACCATCAAATAATGTTTCTTTTAACATGAAAATTTTCTTTTAATTCCATTTTTTCCACTAAGTTTTTGAAGCTTCCATGTATGTCAGATCTTAAACTTTACATTTGTGCTTTTTATTTATATGTAAACTATACTTTAATCAAGTTGATTTAAAAAGGAAAACAATTCGCTTTCACCTTGTCTTTGCCGTTGTTAACACCTTGCTTGGTGCGTTCAGTTTGTCTGTCTACACATTTGGCTTTCAGATGATTCCTTTCGGACCCGGAATGCCAACAGCCTTCCATCTGCCTTTTCTCCCAGTACCCCGTTACCAAGCACGTCCCGTGGGACCAGTCACACAGCTGATTCAAAGAGCGGTGGGAGTAAAGAGACACAACCTCGGAAGGCCCCCCTGTAAGTAACCAGGTGACACACTGCTCATCGGTCTCTGTTGTTCTCAGTGCAGCATCCCACTCATGAAAACACTTCCCCGGAGACAGGAAGTGTCTGGGATATGCGGATGTTATCAGTTAAAAGTGATCGTTGTCACACGGACCGAAATACTAGCTAGTGTACATAAAACCATTCCTAGGAAGGCCTTCAAAATGTTCATGGAAAACATGGAATTGCTCCACAAACTTTTTGAAGCCCCCTCGTATATGGCCAAGACATTGTAACTTTAGGGAATCAAAAAGTAACATTTAAATGGCTGTACTAGCACCTGAGATGTATGTTTTTCTGTACAATTTGGGATTCAGGGGCTTTATTTCTGAGAAAACAGGATAGAATTGCATCCCTTTGAACAACTAGGTTAAGCACACAATGTTGAATTGTTCAGTGTCCAAAAGTTGGGCCAATGAATGCCACTTAAGAAGTTTTGCTCCACATAACCCCCAGAGTGGTGGGTCCAATCAGTGAAGCTTTTACTGACTATCCTTGAGCCTTGAGGTTATCCAAGGGCCTTCATTCTTCTCATTCATTACTCATGGTCCCTTTTTATGTGCTACTTATATCTTGTTTGAATTGCAGAAGCCCTTGTTCCTTTTAGCTTGAACTTTCAGAGGCTAGCACCGTAAAAGTCACCAGGAGGAGGGCCATACTATGGTAGAAATGATTTAGTCAAGATGCCCAAATGATGGATTTTGGGTTATTTTAACATATGGGACACCCATACCTTCTAATTTAAACAGGATTCAGATTTTCTACCAAAAACGTTTTATTTGATTCATGGGCATTTTCTAATAAAACTTCTCAAATGCATCTTGGCAATTATATATTGTAATGTATTCCAAATTTCAATTGGCCATTGAGTATATATACAAGTATAGATGTATGTACCCAATTTAATTCAGAATTTTGTAGCAAAATTACTAAATGGAGCTCAAGAAGAGAGTAGGAATGTATAATAGAAAAAGCAATAGTAACAGGAGGCAAGTATATTGATATTTCTGGTTAGAGAAGTTTTCTAATTAATATTGTTGAATGAACCCAAGGCCTTTCACCCGCCCAGTCACTGGTCTGTTGACAGACTATACTGTGGGAATTCCATTGAAGAATTGTGGTGGCAGAGACGAGCCCTCACTGTGCCCATCTGTAGCAGGATGGGGCTGACACAAGGTTCTGCGTCTCAGGCACCTTCCCACACGGGCATCCGGAGGTCTGTCTGCTCTGTTAGCCATAAACCTCTTCGCAAAAGCCTTCCGTGGAATTCCTCTATGAAAAGACAAATGTAGTAACCCTGGAATGGAATGTTTATAAAGGGTTTAGGCATTTTTATAGTAAAGACTATTGAAGCCTAATGTATTTAAACCAGTTCTCCTTTGTTCAGAATGCTGTCTTCATCTGCTCTTTCGTTGTTGGAGTATGTTTTTTGGTTTTTTGTTTTTCCTTTTTATAGATTGAATTTTCTTTTCCTTGAAACATATATGTATAGTAGGTGGTTTAACACAATGAATCTAGAAACGCTCTGTTAAAAATTGCACACCAAGTTTGTTCCTTCTTTTCTAACTGTTCTGAAGAAAGAGGATATTGGAACCCAAGGTGATTTCCTAACCTGGACTTGTGAAAGTTTCTAACTCCATCTCCATATGGGAGGCTCTAATTGGGACTTTGTCACAGCGGTGACGGAGCTGATACCCATGCCTAAAATCCACACTGCGCCTTTTCTACGAGGTGTAGTATCCCCAATTCAGAGCTGCGCCATGTTTAAAGGAAAACAGAGCCTTTAAAATGAGTAAGCCTAAAAACTGGTTTCAGAAAACAGTGTCTCAAGTTTTACTTCTTACACATTCTGTGACTTTTCCATATTATAAAATATCACATGTGAGATGTTTGAATATTAGCCTCTTAAAGGAAATGCAACCCACTGCTCAGTTATCTACATGGTGAGGTTCCAAAGACTAAGGCATTAAGCACAGATTGGCATTATGAAAAATGGAGGATGACCACATCATAAATCAAACAGAGAATGATGACATAACTGCCAAATTGCATCATTACATCATTGCCAATTACATCATTATTTAACTGCCTAACAGCCTATGATGGATGGTCCAGCCAAGTTGGCACATTACTGTAACTGTCAGAATCCGCATCATTCATAGCATTGCAGTTTTTGTTATTGACAGTCACATCATTAATGTGCAAGATTGTCAGATAGTAGATTATTTACTGTTGTAAATGTGAAATGTCAGATAACAAGAATAGTTGGTAAGCATGGAGTAGGTATAGATGTTTGTACTATGCCTTGTGGCTCTTAAGACCAGACAATGGATAAACTCAGGCCTGCGTTAATTAGTTATGGCTATACAAAATACAAAACGTATGAGATGTTGTCTGAGTCTGTTTTCCTACAAAGTGAATGCTAAGTATACTTATCAATCTTGATAGTTAAAAGTAATTTCAAGTAATCTTTAGTATACTTACTTTTCCCCTGAATCAGCATTCTCTTATGTCAGATTTATTTAAAGTGGATTATAGTTTATTACTTTATAAACATCACATGGATAATTTTTCTTTCTTTTTTTTTCCTTTTTGTTTTTCCTTCTTTCCCCATTTTTTTTTAAAAAGAAAATCCAGAAAATCCAATCCCTGAATCCACTGCTTGATGAAGGAGGCGGAGCCAAGACAGCTGGAGAGACTGACTGATGGACAAAAGCTAAAAGCAAGGACTTGACTTTTTTTTTTTTTTAATGAATGGAAAAGAGAGCTGTGCTAGCCTCTGATGTTGTTAAACTTTCTATACTTGAAATTAGATTCCCTAGGAGAGGTATAATATATATTTCTATGGATAATAATGTGGTTTCAGAATTCTAATGTTATACTGAGGCCTAACCAAACAACTTTAGCGATGTGCTTCCCCTACTGCTGCACGAGAGCCAAGCCCGCCTGCCTTAGTGCAGGGAATTGTTTTCAGGGGGAGTGTTGGCATTGAAGAACTACATGAAAGTCCAAATCCGCTGAAATTGCCCTAGCTAGGTAGTTACTGGGAGGTGTTGGGGAAGGAGGGAGATACTGCATTAGCTAACCAATCTTCAAGGCCAATTGAAACGGCGTACTGAAAGGTACAAAAACTGCCCTCTGTTTTTTCAGTCCTGTGATTGCAGTGACAATATGTTGTACCTGGGCATTCACAAATTTGCAGTTGGCAGCGAACATTCCACAGAGAGTCTCAATAACGGTTAGCTATAAGAACTTAAAAATCAATAGATTGATGATTTCCTTCAGTTTCCTAGAAGACTTTATTTTATAAATACTTTGCTTACATTTTAGATTGTATTTGTCCGTTCGTAATTTAAAATGATGACTCGAGTTTGAATCAGCTGTGATTCCAAGCAATCATGCCTAAGCTATGTGAACAGCCTTCGTCTGTACTGATGCTCATATCACCATCCAGATTTGCCTGTGGAGCATAAAGAGTCCTGAATTTAAAAATGTCAGTTCTTGAGAATACTGTATGAAGCTATTGTCAGCTTCTCTATTTCAGAAATACAATCAGCATTTAACTATATTGGTATGAGAAGATATTGGTTTTTTAAAATCTGTTGATGTATATGATAAAGATGATCTAATTTGTGAATGCATATGCGTGTGTGGTTACTTTTTATAATGTGAAATAATGAATAACGGATGTACCCAAAATAAAAGATAGGTTAATGAGAAAATGTGTTTGTGGAATGAGCTGTCAAGATTTTCCCGCAGGTTTTCTTTTATAGTTGAAGAATAAGATAGCTCATGTTTAAGTCATTAGTGAAAGAAGCATGCTAATGTCAGCGGTGAATGACTCTGGGGTTGAATAAGCAGTTCAAACCCACCAGTTACTCCATGGGAGAAAGACAGGGCCGTCTGCCCTGGGAGGAGTGCGGCCTGGGAGGTAGTTCTGCTCGGACTGTTTCCCTGGAGGAATGCGGCCTGGGAGGTAGTTCTGCTCGGACTGTTCCCGGGAGGAGTGCAGCCTGGGAGGTAGTTCTGCTCGGACTGTTCCCGGGAGGAGTGCAGCCTGTGAGGTAGTTCTGCTCTGACTGTTCCCAGGAGGAGTGCAGCCTGTGAGCTAGTTCTGCTCTGACCTTGAGGGAAACCGTGAGTCAGCAGTGAATATGTTGGGTTTTAGTTTTTACCCTCCTTGTGGTCGCTTTTGGGCTGTTTTAAAAGTAATTCTTAATATCTTTCACTGAAGATCAGTCAAGTAAATCGTATTATTCAGTCTACTAGTTGTTTTGGTCAGTAGTTAAAAATTGGATAGGTGTGAAGGTATTGACTGAACAGATTTAGTACATTCTTCATGGAGTTCATGTAACTAAGTATGACTCCATCCTGTAGGATAAGCACTGGACTGCTAGCTGCAAGGTTGGTGGTTCAAACCCACAGCCATTCAAACCTTGGAAACCCTATACACAGTCACTATGAGTTTAGGGTTGACTCGACGGTACTTAGCAACAACCAGAAGTATCTAAATGTAGGAATGAATGTGTGTTATGACTGGGGATAGAGTAGTTAGGAGGACATCAAAGTGGCATGAGTTTTTCTGAACTTTGATTGATAGTCAACATTGACTATAATGTAAATAACATGGAGAATTTCAGCTTAATTGTTACATAGCAGAGTTTTAAGCTTTAATTTTCCCACTGTGCATGTGGGATAAAAGGAAAGTGATTTTACAGAGAAAAATTACTAATAAAATTTAGAAACATGGAGGAGAAGTCCATTGCAGTCTTATCCGTAGACACCGAATTATCAGTTAAAACAATGAATCCTAATTACTTTGAGTAGGTTCTTGTTTTGTTTTGTAGCACATCATGATAACAATTTCTAAAATCTTTGTTAAAATTATACTTCCAAGGAGAAATTTATAGAAAGAGAGTGAAGAACAAATTGGTGAGTTATGAGTTATATCCAAACCTGCATATCAGAAAGCAAGATGTACATATGTTCTTGTGAAAGCTCTCAGTTAAGCAGTTTATCAGAGTCATCTTTCAAACTAGTCACATGATAAGGAAATCTCCCTCATCCTGCAGCTGACAGAAGAAGGGTACATCTCCATCATCTTTTTGTTAATAAAGAAAACTTGTATTTTATAGAGTAGGTTCTGGAATGGAGCATTGTGAGCAAAAACCAGGCCTCTAGAACGCAAACTTTGGCAGAATTGGTGATGAAGATAAAAAGATTCCCCTTAATAGAAGTAAAATGAGAAGCATAGAGAATCTACATGCTCCCCCCTCCCTCCAACCACACACACACCTTTAAAGTCATTGCCATTGCCAATCTGATGAGCCTGGACATCTTACCCTGCAATGAAGGGGCCCTTGTGCTGTGTCATGAGTGGACATGTGAGGAACACTGGAAATGAAACAGGCTTTTCCTCTTGAGTAGGGGTTTAGCCTTGAGGATAAAATTCAAGAATCTGATCTCAAATGTCATAGCATGTGCGTATGAGACTGTGCTGAATGTGTAGTGTGAGTGTGTGTGTGTGTAGGAGCCATTTCAAACACTTCACAGTTAGATCTAGTGAACCCCTGTATCGTTTTCAGATTCCCCTATCCCTGATTTGAAATCTTGAATTGTTGTTTGAGATCAATTACTTTTCACTGGCCTCCCTTTTCTCACTGCGCAATCAGAGTTAGAAAATTTGAAATTTAGTGTCTTGGGAGCATCTTAAAGAACATGTAGAATAACATTAAGAAATAATTTAAATAGAGAAAAGGGTCGCATTCTGACTTCAGGAGTGCGGTGGTAGATCCGACTGGTATGCTCTTGGTGCTACTTTGAGAAGTGTGTGTGTTTGTGGGGGAGTTGGTGGGAATGTGATCTGTTCGCTGTATGAGTCCTTCAGTAAAAACTCGCTTTGGCCATATTCATTCCAGAAAGCAGCATGTTCTCGTAGATTTTCTTTTCTAGATTTCATCTGTTAAAAAGTGGGACATTCGACAGAATCATCTTTTTTTTTAATTTAATTCCTCCTACTGTGTCTCTGCAGACAAACCTATCTTTGCTTTGTGTCTCTCTTTCTTAGGTCCTAGAGTTGCCTGGCCTTTAAGAAGCATCAGTTAGTGCTTTTGGAATGAATACTGGAATGAATTGGTGTCCAGACGTTAGAACGATGAAATGTCAATCTTTAGGCTGCATCTTAGTAATATTACCTTAATAATGCATTACTCTGATTTATACTGTTCTTATTGTTAAGTGCCATCGAGTTGGTTCCAACTCATAGCTACCCTGTATAGGGTTTCCAAGGAGCGGCTGGTGAACTTGAACCACTGACCTTGCCGTTCAAACCAACTTTGCAGTTCAGCGCATTACCCACAGTCCCATACCAGGACCTAAGAATATGAATCAAGAAATTAATTTTATGTGTAATTAATCAATGGATCTTTGTTGTTTTTGTTAGATGCTGTAGAATTGGTTTGAACTCATAGTAACCCTGTATAGGGTTTCTGAGGTGTGGCCAGTGAATTTGAACCACTGACCTTGCCGGTCAAACCAACCTTGCGGTCCAGTGCATTACGCCACAGATGCCCCACTAAGATTCCAAACACTAGATAGGCAACAGATGAAGAAGAGTGCATTTCTAATATCCAATTAGGCATTTAATCAAGACAGTTGACACTCCAAGATTAATTCACTTTATTTATGATTCTCTGAAAAATACTCTCTTGTCTCTACGACAGAAAATGACTGCAAGGACAGTTAGAGCATGCTTGCTGGTTTCCTTTCCACCTTGGGAAACCTCTGTCCTTCTGTGTCAACCACAGTGGGGAACCAGGAGACATGCTTACCGCCTGTTCCACTGAACTCCCTCAGAGAGTGTTAGCTGGAAGGAAGGAAGACTAGAAAGGGCTTGGGGACTGGACTCCAGAGAGGCTAGTGAGACTCACTCACTAGCTCTGTCATTGCCTAGCTGGGTGACGTCAGACAAGTGTTGCCATTTCTCTGGGCAGGGATGACTTACCCTCTAGATGCGTCAGGCGCAATGTTAAAGTATTTCTAGGGCTCATGGAAATGCTTTACTTCTTGTAAGCTGCAGTCTTCAACTGCAGGATTATAGTCTTCTGTTTTGAAGCCACAGCAGTTGTAAAATAGCACTTTAATATGTTTTCTGTGGAGGAAGGGGCCCACAAAGGTGTCCATTGCCCATTCTAGCCATATTGTGGCTTTGTCTCAAGGCTCCTCCTTCTGCCCTTTGTGAAATAAAGGTGCTGTAGGTCAGCTGATGCCTTTACCAGATCATGGAGCGCACCATGGAGTGGATGGGCAGCGTTGGGCCGGTGCTGGGACCCTGAGTGATTGTCACTGTTAGAGTTTAGTCAGCAAGCCGCGCGTCTGAGACCCTGACTTTGCACCACACAGAAGAAGAAACGAGAAGCATGGGCTCACAGGCCAGTGTATTGCAATGCCTTCCTCACAGAGGCTTTCTCTTGAAATATGTTAGGAGCTGCCATTTTTAAGTCCAAACATGTTAGTCATAGGAATCCTGGTATGGTACTGTAGGATCAGCCCTGAACCTCAATGTCGATTTGAACTGCAGCCCACCAGCTGCTCCTCAGAAACCCTATACAAGGTCGCTAGGAGTGATATCAACTCGATCGTACACAACAACAACATTGTTGGCTACAAAGCAGGATCCAGGGGTTCAGTGAAGCACAATGGCTGGTGGGAACCGGCTGACCATGCCAGGCAGACTCACAGCTGTCTCACTGGTATCATTATTTACATGTGTAGATTGATTTAATATTTCTGTTTATGTAAGAAAAGCCCAAGCCAGCAGCGATCCTGGGAACCACTTTCCTCCTCCATTGCCCAATGTCCGTAGGCTCGGTGTTTCCAAAAGCAGTAAGTAGGCCCGCCCGTCACAGGAGAGCTGGATTCACCACCCTGCCCAGAAAGAGAAGCATCCGAGAGGTTTCTTCATAGATCATGAAATGGAAAGGCCGGTTCACTTTGATGATGGGAGGCATAGAGTAAGCGATGATTTTCGACAGGGTGCCCGCTGCTGCCTCTGTTCCCTTTTCATCCACCTCAATCATCGCTCTTTGTAAAACCTAGAAAAGCAAATAATATGGAAGAAATGATTTGTGTGGCAGCTGAGAGGAGGGAATTAACTGAAACCCTTGACTGCGGTCCCACCCACAAGGCCATGCTCCTGGGATGAAGGGGTCCAGGGCCCATCTGCTCAGAGAGGAATGTCAGGACTTCACCAGAGACTCCAGGAGCCCAGCTGTGAAGTGCACTTTGGCATGGGCCCAGGGAGTCACGTATGCATCTCTTCCAGACATGTATGTCTTGAGTGTATGCCTCATGCTATGGATCTTTGAGCTGAAAACTTGTGCTGTTTTCAAACTGCCTGGAACCTTTGCTTCTGGCCAGCAAGAGGTGCTGGGGGCCTCCTGGGTCATCAGCACCTGCTTCTCTCCGCCCCCCCCCACCCCCAGCACGTTTCCTCTGGTCATGCTCTGTTGCCCCCGGGGCCTGAAACCTTTCTTGAACTCAGCGAGGCCCTTTTGTGGTGTGATTTTATGTGTCTGTGTGTTTATCATGGCAGAAGTCCAGTGTAGCAACGCCTGCGAACATCCCATTGTCTGCAATGAACCTTACTCCTTAAGAGTAAGCAGAGGAAGAACATCGAAGCGTTGCCATTAAAACTGAATGACGATGCTTTGCAAAACAACAGCACATTCCTCTAAGCTTTCATTGATTCACAGCCAAAGTGCTTTCAGTTGCTGGGTTTTAAGTTTCATTGTCTTGTCACCTGTGGTGGGGTGAATGGTGGCCCTCTACAGGGATGTTCACATTCCAATTTACTGGAACCTGTAATTGGAAAAGGGGTCCTTGCAGATGTTCAGGATCTTGAGATAAATTCATACTGGGTGAGCCTTAAATCCAATGACAAGAGCCCATGTCACAGACAAGGAAGGAGAAGGCACAGAGAGGAGAAGCTGATGTGAAGATGGAGGCAGAGATGAGTGATGTGGGCACCAGCCAGGGGCTCTTCCAGCCCTTGTTGGAAGAAGCAAGGAAGCCCTCAGAAGGAGCGAGGCCCTGCCAATGCCTTGCTTTTGGCCTTCTGGCTTCCAGAAGCGTGAGAGTAAATCCTGTTGTTTGGAGCCACCCAGTTTGTGGTAGTGTATTGTGGCTCTCACAGGAAATGAACACACAGTCCCTGAGGGAACGGGGGAGTGATGGTATGCCAGGATTACCTAGGGGATCATAACTGAAGTAGATGTTGTGTTTCATCTCTCCCGGACTTAATGGATGCATTTGTATAGGTAAAATGTTATCCAGAACCCCACTGCTAAGAAAGGATGTGATGAACTGGACCTTACTAGCCATTTAGATATATATGGGAGTGGTTGTAACAGTGACAGGGGATTATCACGGACATTGGCAAGCACAGACCACGGAGACTAAGCAGTTCTCAGAAATGCACAGAACTGCTCTGTTTCTCAAAACCCACAGCATTTTAATTGAGAAACATTCACTGGCTGAAGGAATTTCACGTGGAAGCGGAAAAGTGACTAAACTTGTTCTCAGTAACTTAGGACATCAGAGCATATATATGTGTATATGTATGTGTGTATATGTGTGTGTGTATATATGTGTGTGTATATATGTGTGTATATGTGTATGTGTGTATATGTGTGTGTATATATGTTTGTATGTGTATATTTGTGTGTATGTGTTCGTGTGCGTGTGTGTGTATATGTGTATATATGTGTGTATGTGTGTATATATGTGTGTATATGTGTGTGTATATATGTTTGTATGTGTATATATGTGTGTATGTGTGTGTATGTGTGTGTATATGTGTATGTGTGTGTATGTGTGTGTATGTGTATATATGTGTGTATGTGTGTGTGTATGTGTGTATATATATGTGTGTGTATATGTGTATACATGTGCGTATGTGTATATGTGTGTGTATGTGCGTGTGTATGTGTGTGTGTATGTGTGTGTATATATATGTGTGTGTATATGT